CATATGCCACCTGTCAAAAGCTAAGTCTCAATCAGCTGGCGGTAAAAATAAAGAAAGCTGAGGGCTTGCACCTGGATATATTTTTTAGTGCAAAAACCCACAAAGATGCATGTCCCTTCAGGGCCATTGTATCAGAAAGGGGTACTTGGCAGAAACAGATCGCCCTCTATCTCCAGACTCACCTCTCTAGCCTCAACATAGTTGACCCGTTCCTCATACACAACTCCGAGGAGGTAATTGATTTTTTGAAGAGTGACACCAATCAGAAGAGAGGAGCCTTCAGCGTAGATGTGGTGGACCTGTATTACTCCATTCCACAGGATGCTCTCCTGGCTTCAGTCAAATCAACTATTGAACAATCAGGAGAAATCAAGTTTCAGAATTCGAGTGGTACTTCAACGGAAAGCTTCATGGAGCTACTAGACTTTTATCTGAAAGCCTTGTTTGTAAAATGGCAAGATTCTTCATACCTACAGCGGTCTGGAGTGTGCATTGGGTCATGTGTTGCTCCCATCTTAAGCGACATCTTTCTGGGAGGCGTAGACATGATCCTCGCACCGCTTTTGAGCACCATGTCTATTATAAAAGTCTTCAGGTACGTTGATGACTTTCTTATTATCCTCCAAGAAGAACAAACCGAAGACTTAATAGATACAATCCTGAGTGTTTTCTCCAGAAGCGGTAAAGGTCTGAGTTTTACGTATGAACAACCTATTCTAAATGTGCTGCAGTTCCTGGACCTATCTATAAAAATCTCAGATCACCACATTTGTTGGTCCTACCTACCACGCTCCAAAAAAGAAATTCTTAATTACCAATCTGCCCATTCAAAATTAATAAAAAGAGGGATAGCCAGTTCGTGCATGTATTCAGCTTTGAAAAAATCCTGTCACCACACCATCGAAAAGAGTTTCAGCACTCAAGTAAACAAACTCTCCAGATCCGGCTTTCCATCAGCCATGTTAAGTGAAGTTGCGGGCACTCTGATACAAACCTGTAAAGGATCGACCAAAAGAAAAAAGAGCAAAGACCTTACCAATATCCGACCACTAGTTATACCATACATCCACAAGACGTCGCACAACTTAAAAAATGTTGCCAATAGATACAACGTGCCCATGGTGTTTTCAGCCCCAAACAAACTGGGTAGAATTTGCATGCTTGTGGACAAGAACAATGACAGCAGGGCTTGCTGCATGAAAAACCACAAGGTGCACTTTGTGTCTTGCATTCTACAAGTGGTTTACCATCTTCCTCTGTCCTGCGGGAAAACCTATGTCGGACAGACTGGGCGTTGCCTCAACGACCGCTTGAGGGAACATAAACAGTCTCTTCAAACCACCACTGGAAGCCACCTAGCCATCCACTGCAGAACCTGTGGATGTGATCCAGATTTTTGTGCAACAACTGTTCTAGCTTCCCATAAAGAAAAAACAACAAGAGAAATAGTGGAAGCCTTTTGGATAAGAAAGCTCGAATCCAAATGTGTGAGCCAGCCATCATTAACACTACAAGACAGCGAGTATGAGTTTATGGGGGCAGCTGCGCACAAATAGGTGTATGGTCAAGGCTTCGGAGTGCCGGCACTGGACATGCCTAGGACTTTGAGAGATTGATTTTCATTTTATTATGTTTTCCTTTTCAGCTACAATTATTTTAGGTGTAATTTTATTTAATTTATTAGCTTTTTCACATCTTTCTCTTTTCCGATATATGTTCATGTGTGTAGTTTTCTTCCTTCTCCTTTTCATAGTAAATCGTCAGTTGCGAGTCAGCGCTTGCCTGTTCTGTCTTCCTTTTCTGTCCCTCTCCTTGTGCGCTGTTTAATTATGTATAGCAACCACCAACTAGCCCAAGTATCCACCATTTTGAGGATAGACCAGCTTGTGTCCTAGGAATGGTTGTACTCTATCACTTGATTTTTAGTGTTCAGGATATACGTATTATGCTATTTCTAGCATGCAAGTTACTTAGAGACAAATCATGCAGTGTGATCAGATTTGCCATGTGCCACCTGTTTTGGCCCCCACGCGACTTCTTTTATCTATAGAACAATAGAAATAATTTCTGTTATCACTTGACTTTTGTAAGGCAAGAGACTTAATTGTGAACAATGCGACAGACCCATGAGCTGAGCTAGTCTATGGCTACTCGTCAGGAACTAAAAACTATGCACTCTACATACAAATGAGAACCGGTTAAAGATACAAAGCAGTTTTAACAACATATATTTACTATATTTATTTATTTAATTTTTTTTTTGTGTTATGTGCAACATACGTGGGCTTTGTGCAATCTTCCCTTGCCTTTTTGTGCGACCGCAGTCTGATGTCTAAAATGAATCGGAAAAAAATGTTTTACAGTTTTAGATTAATGTTCAAAACTGTGTTCAACATATTTACAAATTTCCATAGACCTGTTGACTGCTTTGACTTGTGGCTGCTGTGACATATGTCTCCGACTACAGTAATTGTCGCATGACCTCAGCCTGATTGAGCATGTTTTCTTATCTCTATGTCTTCACATTTTTATTACTACCTGAAATTTTGATAAACTTTTTGAGATGTTTGTTTACTACTAAGTGCATCATTTGGCTGCTGTTTGTGCTTATTCATTGCATGCATTGTTTTGCTTTTCTCTGCTGCCACACGTACCATAAAATCCCATAAGTATGCCCACCCAAAATGAAGAGATAAATGGTGAAAAACATGGGGTGGGCTATCTTGGGGGATGCCACACCAAAACTTTATCAAAAATTAATGCTAAGCTCTTGGGCACTTGCTGCAAACCCTGTGACGCGGGAACTGATACCGCAGATCGCGGACACGGCAAATTTCTGTTTTACGATGTGATAACCATGTGGGAATTCACTACAAAATCCTGTGTCACGGGGAAGAATACCGCAAGTGGCCGACGCAGCAGATTCGCGTTTCACGGTGCGAGGGACTCGCAGGAACCCGCCGGGAACTCATATCTCACGGGGAAGTGTACCGCAGACCATGGACGCGGCAGATTCAAGTTTTATGGTGGAAAAAACGCGCAGAAACCCACTACAATCTTGCCTGTCACGGAAACCGATATCGCGCTACAAAAACGCGGGAATACGCTACAAACTCGACTGTCATGGAAACAGATACCGCAGATTGCAGACACAGCAGAGTCGCATTTCACAATGCAATATACAGGCTGGAACAACTCGCGTGCATTACAGCTAAGAATCGATATCGCGCGCGCAGATCACGGACACAAACACGAATACGCCACAAACTTGGGAACGGAAACCACAAATCGCGAACGCAGCAGATTCGCATTTCACGTTTCAATATACATGCAGGAACATTTTGCGTCTTACGGGAACTGATATCACGTGCCCAGATCGCAGACAAAAACGCGGGAACCCGTTATGAACTCGCTTCTGTGACGTACCGGTACCGCAGATCGCGCGCCGGTGATGCGCGTTGGGGGGGGGGGGGCAATGTTTTGGAATTTTTATGTTACAGATATTTAGCCATAAAAACGGGATGGGTGATCTCTTGGGAGAAGGTGTCCTTATGGGATTTTACGTGGCACTACAATGAGCAATCTTTGTTTTGTTACCGGCTTCTTTGTTTTATGTATGCAAATATCTGTGCTGTTTTGTATCGCTTCATTCCTCTTCGGTCAAGGCCAGCTTCAAGCTGACCCTGCTTGGGACAATGAAAGGGTGTATTTGGTATGTGCACAACACATTCACCACAAACACCATGTCTGTGGTTTTACTGATTTTTATTTATGGAATTATCTGTTGAATAGCGAATTTTACCGCCTGAGCCCGCATAAACACATTTCTTTAGGCATGTATTTTAGACGACAGCTCTCTAGTCGCGATGGAAAAGTGAGAAAAACTGAGGCACATGTGTTCATGCTGTTTCACACTTTACAGGAGTTTAAACAAAGTTTTTTGTACAATGTTAAGTGGTAGACCCCTTATTTTTGTGAAAGGGATACTTCAACGAAATTTGAAATATTCCCGTCGTGTTCAAAAATAGGTTGAATATAATCCACAATATCCATAAAAGACAATTGCACGTTTGTATTTTGAGCCTGGTGGCTGTATTTTTCGTTATAAACGGCCTACTCTGGCAAGTGCTCGGAGAAGTCGAGCGAAGACCGCGTGACATCTAACGCAATCGTGACGTAGTTCGTCTCGGGACGAGCAAAGCTAGGCAAGGCTGACGTCGAGAATGATGGCCTAGTCGTTCCAGCCACCGAAGCGGCTGCTTTTGTGCGAATTTTGAGTGACGGGTTAATCTTCTATAATCTTGTAGGGGGACAATAGCAACTTCTGCGACACACAAAAGGCATTCTCGGGAAGAGGGGAGTTCCTCCTTCCCCTCTTTTCTCTCTTCCTGGCCAGAGGCGAGACAACCTCCGTCACTAGCTGTCAAGGTTTCTAGACGAGCATCACAAACGAGGCGTTAGCGACATCCACCAGGTGCTCTTTGTTAATCGTTTAATTCGTTTTAAAATTCCTTTTCGAGACTTTTTTGACAAGATATTGGTATGCTCGATGTAATACTGCTCCTTTGAACACATACAGACCAAAAAATGATCGCCGAAATTTCGTTGTAGTATCCCTTTAAAACAGACATTGCCCTTATACTTGTTCTAATATGCAAAATATGTCTTTATTAAAGGGCAGTGCTTTTCTAGACAAACAATTAGGAGCCACCAATTTTAACGTATATTCAAACACCTTTCCAACACACTCCTTCCCTACAACCAAAGTAAATCAATGAAGTTTTGATCCGTAATCAAGATGGTCGACAAAAGAGGCCAACACCTTGCTCTCAACACTTCTAAAATTGCAAGTCGTTTCACGTTGGGTTTGCTCCTTTTTACGACTGTCCATTATTTGTACCGACTTATCTTCAAAGCTAAAATCGCTGCTCAGTGGTCATCATCGAACATGCTCATTTCATTGGGGTTGGGGGGGCCGCCGTTTCTGCTTGTGATTTCAGAAATCATATTGGTACTCGTCTACCGACTACGACAGCGGCAGCGATATGGAAGCTGTGGACGACACTTCGCCCGACGTCTTTGAGGCGCCTCCGCACAACGTTGAGACCACCATTTCGTTGTCGCACGTCACCAAGGTACGACCATCGTGTTCCGTCCTTGCTCGATATGTGTGTGGCATCGTCGTATATGGGGAGAACCACGGGTGTTTCTTAGCATAAAAGCAACGCAGTATCCGGCCTCTTTAGTCAGTCGTTCTTTTTCGGGAAACAGCTGTTGTTTGCGAAGTTTTGCGGCAGATCAAGCATGGGTTTCGTGTACGTCAAGGCCCGCCAAATTTGGCGGGGAACTTGTCTGCTACGTTTAGTGGGAAATTTTTATGCTAAATTTAGCCGGGAATCGCAGTATTGTGTGGTAGGAACGTCGCTCTGTATTGTGATGTCACGTTGGACGATGTCACAATTTTCCTGCTTAATCTAGCAGATGAATCTTTCCCCTAAATTAAGTGGGAAAGTTCTTCCACTAGAATTATCAGGACACCGTGACATCATGTCGCAGGATCATGTGATGTCACAGCGTCACGTGAACACCATCCGCTAAATTTAGCATGACGTAAATCTGCCAAGTTTAAACATGGCAGCATACCTGTCTGTGGCAGTGTGTATTGTCTCGGCCATTGTCATAGGCAGGACACAACGAGGAACCAAGTATTTTTTCTAACCTCCGTGCTTATTGCTGTTCCCACAGATGTTCCGTGGCACCAACAAGAAGGCAGTTGACAACCTTTCCCTCAAGATCTACGACGGGCAAATCACCGTCCTGCTTGGCCATAACGGCGCTGGGAAGACGACAACCATGAACATGATCACTGGTGAGCTCGGGACTTTGAACCTGTTTTGTATGATAGTGATCTGCTTCGACTGCTTACATGTGCTCTTTGGTAAACCTAATATTTACTCGTGAAGACAATTTAATGTTTACTCATAAACAAAGCTTACAGGAGGAGCCATGAAATGAGCCCTAGACTACCTCGAGGACGACGTCTAGGACGACCTCAAGGGCTAGTTTACCCAGTATCATGTCCACGAATAAACAAACGTTGACACAAAACTCCAGATAGCTACCGCCATCTATGAGCAACAGGGGCAACCAGACAACCGGCTTGCCTGTTGTCTGGTTTCTGCAGTTGCTCATAGATGGCGGCAACCTTTCCAGCCTTTCCACTCTTCACTCAAGAAGTTATCCTCAAAATCGTCCTAGAAGTTGTCCTTGAGGTCATCCTAGAAGTTGTCCTTGAGGTCATCCTAGAAGTTGTCCTTGAGGTTGTCCTGGACATCGTCCTCGAGGCTGTCCTAGAAGTAGTCCTTGAGGTTGTACGAGAGGTCGTCCTCTAGACGTCTCCTTCAGGTCGTCCTAGAAGTCATCTTTGAGGTCATCCTAGACTTCATCCTCTAGGCATCGTCCTAGATGTCGTAAAAATAACAGCTTCGCTGGTCCTCCATCTTCACGTGAAGTGGAAGGGCTCTAAAATTTTGTTAAATTATTTATTGTACTGTGGATTGTATTGGACTGTAGTAGTTGTGCATTGCACATGATTGCTTTGTTAAACATTATTCAATGAATTAGAGAGGCAACAGTTACCTGCCATTCATTAGGTAGTAAACATTAAAAAAAAATTTTTTTTCTATTAGCTCATACCATTTGCTTATTTCTGTTTTAGTAACACGTCTCTTCGTGATTGAAACTATGAGATATGGTTGCAGCCAAAGGTCGCCACACTTCTCTGTGGTACAGGGATTGCTTTAAACTTTATGACTTCCATGATGTGTCTCAGGCCTGTTTCCACCAACGGAGGGACGGGTTAAGATCAAGGGCTACAACATCCTGACTCAGACAAAGAAAGCCCGCGAAAACTTCGGCCTGTGTCCTCAGCACAATGTCCTCTTTGACGAGATGACAGTAGAAGAGCACCTCTACTTCTTTTACAGTGTGAGTAGAGCCTTGTTGATCTTGTAAACCAGGTGTGCAAACGCTTTTCTGTTCCCATGCAAATATTTCTTTTGTGTCCGTGTTCTACGGCATTCGCCTACTACATGGGTGGAACTTTCGGTTTCGCTGCTGTGTGCAGCCTTTTAAATCCTGTACCAAAATGAGCTGTTAGGCGAGTTGGTTGAACATAGTCAGAGCACGAATGGTGCAAAGGACGAGTACAAGCAGAAGAACCGAACGCTTCTCCTGTTCAGTTCTTCCACTTGTTTTCATCCTCCATATTATTTATGTTCTTTCCATATCCTACTTTTTATTTTTGTACCATCTATCAAGTGCCATTCTGTTGTGGTTTTCGACGCAGATGGCTTGCGCCAGTACCTTTGTGTATGGCATCTTTTACAGCCATTGTAGCGGGGCTAGGCAAAGGTACTCTGCACGCGACACTAGAAGCTGTAATGGTAATCTCCACTTTGTTCTTGGAAATCATTGTGGCAACGAGATAGCCAGTGGCTTTTATAAGTGTGATCGCTTCATGTACTTGAGACAATGATTTAAGCCTAGGACCATTGTGCAGGGATGCGAATATGGGCAGGAATTGGGGAACTTGGACGGCGAAGTAGTTTGAAAATGTAGTCTGTCGCAAACTTCCTTCTTCGGAAAGACTTGGTAGTCCTTGCTGTTAGTTTGTCACGAACACTGAGCCAGCTCAAGTGGTTTTTATGGTACCGTTTGAGAAACGGGGAGAAGCGTGACGTTACTCTAGCCACTAAATCCACCATATACAGTGACTCCAGCCTGCACAGGTTTGGACGGTGAAAAGCGAGAGCATTTCGACACATCTCGAGCGATGCACGGAGATTGGAACAAAAGTTTTGGAGTCAGGTTGCTGCAATGAGGAGTGTACCGTGTTGACTTGTGTACGCTTTGGCTCTCGAAACAGCTCAAGAGCAGTCCCGAAATTGCCTGGAAGGAGCACATTGACACAATCCTGTCAAATCTCGAGCTGTCCGACAAGCGACGGACGCTCGCCAAGGGCCTTTCTGGAGGCATGAAGCGGAAGCTCTCCCTGGCGAACTCCATGATCGGAGGTTCCAAGGTAACGCCACCCGCCTCCTTTTGGCGCAATATTTTCTACGCTGTGCTACAAAAGCGTTGCCGAAGTGGCCCGCTGTCCCTAGACGAGACGTATCGCGCGGCCTCGATTTTTTCTATACCCCAATGCGCGTTAGGAAGAACAGGAGAAGCTCTTCTCACAAAGCACTTCACTCTTTCCACTTTAGAAGAGCGAACGTTGGAGGAAAGGTGAGAGAAGAGGCGAGGGCTCAAACGTTCTCTCTGCCAAAGTTGAAAGAGTAGAGGGCTACAGCAGCGTATGTGGTCGTGTGACAAAATGTTTATTGATGTCAGGGATTGATTTTGGTGTTTTAAGCTGGCCTTTAGCCAAAGCGAAAGAAAAGTGTTTCTTTAATTTTTTTTATGAGGGTCGACGACATGTCATAGTTTTGTTCAGTGTGTCAATTTCACGCCTTCGAGAAAGCTGCAGTGTGAGATAAAAGTTTGCCTAGTTGTAGAAGAGGAAATACATCTAGGAGACTGATCTTTTTGAAGCAAACCGGGAGGTTCCACTATGGCGCCTGGAGCATGTCTCAGACAAAGAGGGTGTGGTGGTATTCAAGCAAGAAAAATGGTGCGCAAAACGTCTCAAATTCGTCACGTACAGATCCTCATTTTGGACGAGCCGACGGCAGGGATGGATCCGCAAGCTCGTCGTGCGGTCTGGACGCTTCTCCAGGAGCTCAGGCGGGAGAAAACGATCCTCTTGACGACGCACTACATGGAGGAGGCGGATGCGCTGGGGGACAGAATCGCGTTTGTGGCCGGAGGGAAGCTGCAGTGCTGCGGATCACCCATCTTCCTGAAAAAGAAATTCGGTATGTCTTTCTGCCTCTTCCTTCTCGATGTGAAGCTTAATTAAATCAATCAATTAATTAATTAATTATGTTAAAGAATTTCATTAATTAATCTTTTTAAGAAATTTTGTTATTGTAATGTGTTTGCAATGTTTCATTCTGAGTGTTTATCTTGTTTCAATCTCATAGCTTATTATTTGCTGTTATTTCCGTGCTTTCTTATAATATCTGTGCCCCCCTGTTTTAATGGCCACTGGGCGACGTTGGTACAAATAAATAAATAAATAGAACCAGTCTGGTTTGCAGTGAAAAAGCAGTTCGAGGTAGTAGGTAGGCCTGTGGCTTGAAAGCGATAATAATATTAATATTATAGCAATAATAATCATTTATATTTCGTTGCCCAAAAACAACCAGGATGGTATTTTTTGGTGCATCGACACTGGTACAGAAAAGTTTGGATTATCCACAAGTTTGCGAGTGGGGTCTTGTGCGAGCATTGCATTCTGGCGAGACAGGCTTTTGCACCCGTCCTCTTGATGGGGCTGCGCAGTAGCAGATGAGATTGAGTATAGGGACCTAGATGTTAGTTTCTCGAGCTTCTTATTTCTCTCGATCATCCCTATGCCTATTTTCCTTCTAGTATGTGTATTTTGAGTACCATACTTTGCAAGCTGCTTAACCTTTTTTTTCACTAATGTTGAGAGGAGGTTTCTTGGTGGGCAGGAGTGCCAAACATTCCTCACAACCAAATCGTCTGAGAGCTTTTCGACCTGGTTGGCTCACGTCCTAAATGTTTGCTGCGTTGAAGCCCATTACCTTTCCCACCTTTGTCTCATCGGATTATACATCTCACCATAGCGTGTCTCCTTTCTAAACCAACAGGCCTCTGACGATTTCGTAACCAATGGGTACTGAAGAGCTTGTTATTTTCGCTCGGATATTCATCTTCTAGCTGAGGGTCCCTTAAAGTTTCAAGCCTCGAGGAGCCCCCCTTTCCCTTCCCTTCCCTCAATGGTCAGCCAAGGAATCCTCCTCGCTCTAAGCATTGGTGCATTAAGGCAGTAAAGGAGCCCTCTGACCATGTAAACAGTCGTGTGTGCTAGGTAGTGCTTGGCTCAAACCTGTGCATCATTAGGTAACCCGGATCTGCTAAAATAAAGCTTAAACCATAAAAAAAAAAAAACGCTTTGTTTTTAGAGGCAGGGACAGCAGCAGAAATTTTGGGAATTAGGGAACCCATTAGAGCACTGTGCAGAATCCCTGTGCTCCCAGGAACCCAGTTCGTCAATCCTTTCTGTAGCTCTTCGGTGTTGTCCAGGACTGGCATCCTAAATATGGCATTTTGTCCTAGGAACGGGGTACCGCATGCGGATAGCCAAGGCACATCCCTGCGACCTTGAGGCCTTGACCCAACGGATCACGGGGACAGTCGTGTCCAGCCACATGACATCGGACATTGGGCACGAGGTTGTCTACAACCTCGGTTTCCCTCCGGCCTCGGATGTGATTCCCCTCCTGAGGTCCCTCGAACAAGACAAGGATTCGCTCGGCATTGCGAGTCTCGGGATCTCGGTCACCACGATGGAAGACGTCTTCATCAGGTGGGGCATGTCTTTTAAACCTGCTTCATCTCTCTGTCATTTGACTCTGGGCGTTGTGACTACTATATACTCTATTTCACTTTAACCCTTTGTTGACGAATGTTGCGGGCATTGTGACTATATATCGTATTTACTCGTATAATGAATGCACTCACATAATGAACACACCCCTGACAACGGGCATCAATATTTGGACTTCTTTTTTCCCTCGTGTAATGAACGCACCATCAATTTTCGGCTCCGTGAGTCTAAAACCGTGTCCAACCCAGCTAGCCACCGAGCCAATTTTCTTTTGCCGCCAAGCGGCCGGGCCGAGTTAAGCCAAGCTAAGCAGCTCTCATGATTGCTGCAAGTTCGTAGTTGCAGGAGTGATCAACTGTGAAACTGAGCGGCGCGCGCACCTAACAAAGCTAGGGTCAAGGAAACGCCCAGCCCCCGACAAGCGGTCACCGCTTGAATTCTGGTGTCGTTGACATCCCCACTTTTGCCTGAGATAACTTTGCAGCTAATCCCGTGGCAGTCTCCGAATTTCTTGATCCATCCTTTGAAGGGGTTGACGCCTTTGTGTTTGAACGAGTGTCCAAATGGACCTATCCTTCGCTTGTAGCGTCGAGCCACTCACTGCGACGTTCTTGGCTCGCACTTTGCGAAAGCACCTAAAAAAGGCTTTGTCGACGTCCTCATACATTGATGCACGAATCCTCTTTCTTGACAGCGATGCAGAACCTTGCTATAGCTGGTTCCGTACCTGCTCCATGCTCTCCAGACGGTGGAAACCGTTGTGTCAGCAATGTTGTACTTGGCTGTGACGGAAGCTTTTTAGAGCGCAGCTCTTAAAGGCCCATTTCCGGCTTGAGCGTCGTCGGTGTCGTTGTCGGCGTAACCGCGAGGTCACATGACCCCCCCCTCCAAGGTCACGTGACACCCCCAGGTCACGTGGTCACGTGAACTGTCGAGGTCGCGTGGTCTCGTGACCCCCCCTGAGGTCACGCGATATCCCCTGAGGTCACGCGACCCCCCCTGAGGTCACGCGACCCCCCTGAGGTCACGCGACCCCCCTGAGGTCACGCGACCCCCCCTGAGGTCACACGACCCCCCCTGAGGTCACACGACCCCCCCCTGAGGTCACACGATACCCCCTGAGGTCACACGATACCCCCTGAGGTCACACGATACCCCCTGAGGTCCCGCGACACCCCCCCCCCGAGGTCACGCGACCCCCGAGGTCACGTGACCCCCCCCCTGACGTCACACGACCCTCCCTGAGGTCACGTGACCTCAAGGCGTCACCTATCCCTCAGTACGCTTCCATCCTCCTCCTCAAGAGCTGCGCTCTAGTCCGGCGTTACAGGGAATTGTAAACGGCTTTCATTTTTTCACGCCTTTGACATCTTTGTCGATGCTCTGTTTAGTTTTGAGAAACGGGGATTGTTGTTTCTTGGCCATCTTGGGCTTGGGAGACGGGGACAGATCAGCGATGGACAGTCGATTTACGTATGATATGCTTGACGCATTCCAAACATCAGACATGAGAACAAGCCAGCAAGCTGCAAAAAGCGAAACTAGAAACTATTCAGCTATCTAACCTTTGTTTTGCGTGCTGTGTAAGAAAGGAGGTGTTTGCATGACTTCAACGAGGAGGTGAAATCGAATGGGTGAAATGCTTAAATGGCTCGTTGGAACTTTCGAAGTTGAGCGTGCACGTGTCATGCCTCGCTGTGTTGTATCTCGCTGCATTGTCATTCGTTTCTCGCCTCTCTCTTTGCTTCTCCTCACTTCTTCCGCTCAACGTCCTTGACATCCTTGCCCCCGCGAGTGCCACTTGTGTTATTATCTGGTATCGCAGAGAAAAGCGTGCTTGCTGCGCTGGTCAGTCGGCGGGCTGTCCCAGAAACCGCATTATAACCGGTATTTTCCTTTGCGGCCTGCATTTTAAGTGGTGTGTAATTACATGAAGTTGTTTGGGAGGCGGACCAGTGGTTCAAAAAAGCCAAGTTATATCCGGTCCTGCACTATAAGCAGTTACGTTATAAGTAGGGTTCGGAGTTTTCGGTTTAAACCGATAAAAACTGATAAAAGTACGCCGAATCCATTTTTGGAAATTCGGTTTTAACCGGAAAAGGTCAGTTTTTAAATTCGGCAGTTTCGATTTAAACCGAAAAAAACCGATAAAATTTCGTCGAATTCATTTTTTTAAATTCAGTTTTAACCGGAAAATGTCACTTTGACCGTCCAGTCATACCGCAGAGCCGTGGCGAGCGTGTTTTCAAACTCGCTGTGAGGAAGACTGACTAGATGCAAGCTCTGCATGTTGTATTGTGCTTCAAAACGTCGCACCGTGTCTCTTTCGGCGATTTTGGCTCAGGCAGCGCGTCATCTCCTCAGCCTGCCAGCGTCCAGTGCTAGCGTTGAGAGGGCGTTCTCGAAGCTCAGGGTCATATATTAACAGGAAAGAAATAGTGTGGATCAAGAAGGAGAACCTGGGGAAGTACATGTTTGTGCGTACTATAATGAGATCACGTATTCCTGATGTACAGAAGGTGAGGTTGCATGTTTTTGGGGCATAGGCTTCATATCTGACTTGTTTGTACTTCTGCGTTTTTTTCTTGTTTCTTCTACAGTTGCACACATTTGCCAAATGAAGTGTCCATTTCTTTTTCAACGTATCTGTTCCGTTATTCTTTGAGTGATCACAAATATCAGAGCTACGTACAAGGATCATCTGATCCGGTGTCCGTTGGTGTTTATTTTATATTCACCGAAAAAAGCCGATAAAATTTTGCGGGCATAAATATACGCCGAAAAAAACCGAAAATTGAATTTTAAAATAAACACCGAAAAAAGTACGCCGAATTTTGAAAAAATAGAAACCTAGTTATAAGTGGTCTATAGTGTAGTCTCTATATTAACATCAACGACTTATGTTTGCTCCTTTTCTCTTTCGAAGCATTTGTCACTCGATGGTAGGTAATCAAGTCATGAATCCTGACTTTTTGGAATGAAGGTTTCTTGCAATGTAATTGCTGTTGCTTGTTTGTTCAGGGTTGGAGAGCTGGCAGACATGAGTTTGGACAACAGTAGCACTGCGTCGTCGATGAACAATGGCGACATGATCAGTGGTACGTTTCAAGATATCGTACCTCCAACTCCATTGTCTAGGTGCTGTTTGCTTGTAGTACCACTCTTTGGCGTGTTGTACTGGAGAAGTCTTTTAAGGCATGTGTTTTTTGACAAACAGAAGAAAAAGAAGTGCTTGAAAGTACATGCTGAAAGTTTCTTGACCTTTTTAGAGCTGGTTGCATTCAGTGTTGATAAGAGAATCTCTGGAACCTTGATATAAGTGGAACTTTGTGCAATGTTTGTTTGGTTGTTTATGTCTTCAAAGTGGTCTTCTTGTCTTGTGATAACTGTATTTTCCGCTACTAAGTGGAATAGCTTTACCTGGTGCCTCGACATTTTCCTTAACGAGATTATGCTGAATGCATGCCCAAATATTGAAATGGTTTAGAAAGCTCCCGTTTCTAACTCTATGGCCACTTCAGGGTCGCATCAATAGCACAGCACATTTTTGTCTTTCTAGCCTGCATATTGTTTGAATCGTCTGCTAAACATAATTCATTAGTAGCAGTACTAAGAAATTGTGATGGTGGTGGCTTATTAGTTCTGTTAGTAAGTGTGTAGGCTTTTGTTGATACCTGTAGTATGCAAACACTAATGTTTAGAGTGTCTTCTCTGATGGTATTCAATGAAATCATCTCTGTAGGCTTAGTCTGCTTAGGGTATGTTAAAGTAATTTTTGGTTTTCGAGATGCTAGAACCTGGTCAACATTGTTGGCAGTGCCTCTGTTCTGCACTACAACCATAAAATTAAGCTTTGTAAATTGTCTAACATCCATCATAAAGTGTTTCCTGAAGCTTCGTTAGGGCAACGTGCTGGATGTGCATGTTTTATGTTTGCACATGCTTGGCACCCAATGTAAGCAGGCATTTGCAGATGCTTTGATACTTTCTCGCATATCTTTTATGCTGCTGTGAATGACTGCCTCGCTTGACTAACATAGCGTATGTTGTGGTTTGCTCTGTGATCTCTATGCTTTGTTGACTGTGTGGTATATATATACACAGCATGCTCTGTTTCCCCTTGTACTTCAGTAAAGAATGCTCTTTACTGAAGTACCTTGACCTCCAAGCATCAAAATTTTATGCTGAACTATCTACCAGAGGTTGCAAATGAGGGATCGGTTGCTCGGCGTTGCAGTAGATGGTACTCCTGCCAGGGTATTGATAAGCTGTGAAAAGTATTTGGTAGAAATGAGCTCAAGGTAAAGCCTGCTTCTGCTGCAGCTTTCCTGGCAGTAATCATCCAGTGGTGATTAGAAGGCATTGTGTAAACAGATTCAGATTAATAAAGGAACCCACTGTTCTGGAGATCTTGGAGCTGCTGTAAAAGCATTCGTCTTAAGGGTTTGCTAGTTTATGGAAACTGCCCATTCTTATTTGCTTTAACTCCTACGCTAAACTCGCTATGATATTATGAAACTGTTTAAAAATGCATTCTTTTAAATACTATAGCTCATGGAGAAGTCACCTAAAATCTGAATTTTAAATTGCCTTAGTTTAAATTAATAGAAGGTGCCATAAAACTAATGTATGAACAGCGTGTGCCTAAGGCAGCGTTTTTATTCTAGGCAGCGTTTTTGGCAAGGTCTTATTCACCCTTGCCTGCCTAAAACAGACTGCAGGATAGAAGCACACGAAAAGCCAGTGTACACTGTGCGACACCGTTAGTTGGCACATGGCGTTATTGCTTTTTTGCACTTTTCTTTCAAAAAGGCAGGTACCCAACTTTACCACTCAGGTTAACTGTAATAAATGTGCACTTTCCACTACAGTGGTAGTTCTGATGAGAACCTATAATTTCTTAGAGAGAAAAAGAAGGAAATGGCAACTGCTTGTTTGCACCAACAGCATTGCACTCTGTACCACCAAATTGGAACTGGAGCTCTGAACTATTTTGTCTTAAAAACCGGCAACGTCCTACGGCACACCTGCCCCGTAAAACGACCGGCGCAGTCATCGCATATCACGTCACGCTTTATCGCGCCGCGCACCAGACACTAACACGAGAGCATGCACGTTTTTTGCTTTCATTCGTTCCAGGTCTCGCTTTGCTTTGCACTAACACTGCGCCGTTCCCTGTCCGACCTTCTTCTCCCCCTCCTCTCGTTCCCTTGCAGTGCTGTGGAAGAAAGTCGAAAAGCACTGCTTGTTTCTTGCAGACGACGCTTACCCCCGGTTCCAGCGCGTCCGCGGACGCCTCCCCCTCCTCCTCCAACAGACCGCCGCGCTCTTTGCCAAGCGCGCCAACGCCACCCGCCGCCAATACTTCCTTCCCATCCTCACCATCCTCATCCCCATCGCCCTCTTCATTGTCTACGCGCTTTTGGACATCAAAGACGCACAGATAAGCGACTCAAGCTCGTCTCGACTCGTCTACGACCTCGGGCCATTTGCCGGCTCGACGGTTGGCTTTCTGGACACGGTCGAGCCGGTGGTGCGGCCGCTGACGACATTGTACGAGCGCGCGATGGCGGCGCAGAAGGTCGACGTGAAAGAAAACGTGGGAGACCCGAACGAGTTCCTTCTGGACATTGCGAGGAAGAGCTTGTCGGAGTACGAGGGCAAGTACCTGGTCGGCGGAAGTGTGGAGGGCGTCACAAAGCTGGTAGCGTGGTACAACGGAGAGCCGCTTCATTTGGGCGCCATGTCTCTGAATCTGGCGCACACGGCGGCGCTGAGGTACGTCACTGAAGAGGACGACGCCGTGGTCTCAGTCACCAATTGGCCGCTCCCGGGGAAGCTGGGCTACCAGCTCTTTGCTGGCATGGTGAGTTTTTGAACGCGTGACATTTGTAGGGATCTGGACACAAAAGCACCTCTTGGCAGTTTCGTGTCCAGATCTTGGATGCAGCCCAGGCTCAGGCACTTAAAAGTCGGTTTGGGTGCGGTGCATGGTGCCACTCAGGATACTGCGACTCGTGATGCCAGTGAAAAAAAACTTGCAGAACCCTAAGTGGCCTCACAAAATAGCCACATAGATAACATATTTCACGCTCGTCTGAAGAGCGTCACAATGCCAAACTAGGAAAATCGTAACGCTCTCCTATTTCTACGAAGTCCCCTAAAATAAAATTGGCAACTTTGACTCGGACAAAAACCAGAAGACGAAGATGAGTTTTGGCAAAAAAGAAAGCAAAAACGCACTACTTCGGTCGTATACTAAACAAACTACTACCGTTTGATTCAAAGGTTGAATTGAATGCGCTGGTATTCGAAGGTATATATCAGGGGTGGCCAAACCGCGGCTCGCGAGCCGCATGCGGCTCTTTGCTGGTCCAAGTGCGGCTCGCAAATCCCTCGTAAGGGGACCCCCCCCTTTCCCGCATTTTCCCAGGAAACAAGAAGGGATTTCAGGCAGAATGAAGTACGGCTCGCGGTTTGGCAGCCTTTTATTTCCATACGTACTGTCGTACAGCCTTGTGCACTCATAAGTACAGTCAGACTGAACAAAATTTAAACTTGCCCCCCCCCCCCCCCGTGGCTCTTAGAAGTTTCGTGGTTTCATTTGCGGCTCTTAGGCCTGGTCGGCCTGGCCACCCCTGGTATATATTCTGAAGTTACAAATTGTTACTCAAAAGCTTAGATCATTCATACTAACCTGCTCATCTAATAGACTTCTTCCAAAATTTGAAGCGCCCCATCGCGGCAAAGTTCCACACAGTGCACTTTGGGAACTAGCAGGCCACTCAGTTTCGGTTTTGATTGAGCAGCTTTAGTTTCTGCTGTCACGCCATGACGGAATGTGCTCCTTGCGTTTTCAATTGTCTGACTTCCCATGAATGTACAATACACTCATTCTTGAGCAATAGAAAAGGAAGGCCGGGGCACTTTTCTTGGTTTTTGACATGGCAGATGTTGTGCTTGCGTATGCAAACATAGTAAGACGTGGCTTACTCATTTCTCATCCCACGATTGTATCTTTGAGCTCAATTTTAGTAATCCTGTCTAGTACCAGGGAACTACAACTGAATTCACTTTGAGCCCTACACATATTTTGTTTGCCAAACATCCGCTTCTTGTTACTTCATTGGGCGAAAAACGAGCCGCATTCTGACAGGAGTCTCAAAGTTGTGCCCAATGTTGGCACATAAACTATTAGGGAAACGCAATAAATTCAACCTCACTACAGCACAAAAGTTAATATCCCCCATTCAAATTTTATGCTGATTGGAGAGTAAGTTTTCGCAAGCGCTGAGATCGGCTAGCTACGATGGAGGCCCTAACGGGCGTCCCCTACTCCTCGCTAAGCCTTTTTGGAGCAACTTTTACCAACTCCCAACATCTTTGTCTGAACGGTCAGAAAGCAAACATATAACAAATCTTATTGCCATTAGCAACCGTCAAATGCGCTTTTCATCCTTTAGTTTGTTCGTTTCACTGCATAGGGGTTCATGCCCATATATGTGCCGTCTGCCGAACGGTGCCACATTCTTTACGCAAGTGCTTGAGAAAAAACAAGTTTTTTGGTCTAGAGTAACATTTTAGAGACGAAGAAGGAAACAGCGCCAAAAGTATGGAGGACAGAGAATGAGGAACACACGGACCGAGCATTTTAGATTTGTTTAAACATGGGAATGCAACACGAGCAGCCATTTGGTTGCGTCTGCTTACATCGCCTCAGCACTGACCTTCGCAGAACGTACCTTCGCCGAGAAATGTTTGTGCGTCACAAGCTCCAAGTTGGCGGTGATCTTTGCCCACTTTACTGGGTTTTCCAAACCGAGTGCAATGTCGTTCCCTATTGAAAATCGCAGTCGTGAGGATGCCGCCGACGTCGCCGTCACAACGCCGCCAAAGTGGCCGCAGCCATGCTTGTCTTGCCTTTAGCCAACTTCTCATCACGAATCCTCCTTGGAGGAGCGCTGAATTCATCCACAGTTTGCTTTTTAGTCCGGCCGCCACCTGCTTTTTGAATGAGCCTAACTTACTTTGTAGACCAGTCATAATGCGCAGTTCAGTCCCTAACACCCCGAAAAAACCAGCACCTTCTCAGTTTTGTTAGGACTATTGTTTCGACAAGGCAGACGATTGTGGGCCCCCGAGAATGGAAACAGTCGCGAGCGACCGCAGCACCACTGACGCTCCTTCAAAAAACCGTCGTCATACGACCTGTAGCGTTTCAATAGTTAATGCACACTTTTACAGTTTCTAGGAGCCGATCTTGTCTGATCTCACCTAGAAAGTATGCTGTTGCGGGCAAATAACAGTTCATCGGCACTGCCGTGTTTTAATATAACTGGTATTCGACTTTTGATGGTTTACAATATCAGAATTTTCAGCCGTAGAGGAAATTAGAATTCGGTCAGGACCGGCACTTCCCTTTACTATAACTGGAGTTTTACCATGTGCGGAGTTACTATACCAGGGTTCTGCTGTATGACCTTTGTTGCCATTGCATCATCAATCATCATCATTTAACGCCCTTTGGCAGATATGGCTTTTGTTGCCAGTGTGCCATTAAAGCCTTAATCGTCATCAGCTAATGCCCTTTGGCACAATAGGGCCTTCATGCCATTGCACCATTAAGACCTTTATCATCATCGCCATCATCTAACACCCTTTGATGTAAAATGGCTGCAGTGAACTAGAACATCAAGTATTAGTGGAAAAAGCAGCGGCCTCTGTGTGAGGCACATCACCCTGAATCCACCAGGTGGTGTTGGCGCTCTTTTCCCGAGAACTGCCCAGCCTTGCTCGCATACGAGAACCGCAAGCAGGGCAGGAGGGCACAGCACGAGCTTAATAAGGTCTCGACACCAGCAATGCGCAGCTTTCAACATTCTTGGCTTCAGACGGCCGATGAGGCATGGTCTCTGCTCTTTCCACTACTTTTAGTCCTAGTTAAAGCCTTAATCACCATCATCATTTAGCTCCCTTTGGCGTCATTAAGGGTTAAATCATCGTCATATCATCAACACCCTTCAGTGCAATACAGCCTTCGTTGCTGTCGCGCCGTTAAAACCTTAATCCTTCTCCTCCTCATCATCATCATTGTCTAATGCCCTGTTCCGGTCTTTGGTGGTTCCGACAGTATGACCAGACATCTCGGATCCTCTGCTCGGTGTTCGTGCCAACGGCGCTGGCGTTTCTGTCGTCCTCTTTCGTGCTGTTTCCGACGCACGAGCGCGTCACCAAGGCCAAGTTGCTGCAGCTGATGGCCGGCGTTCCCGGCGTCCTCTTCTGGGGCACCACCTTTCTCTGGGACTTCCTCATCTTTGCCATCTGCAGCACTGCGATCATGGTGCCGCTCCTCGCCATCAACCCCAACGGCATCTTCCTGTCGAGCGCCGGGCTTGCAGGTACCGCTCCGTCTTGACAAATGTTTTTTTTTTTCTTTTTCTTATTACAGTAAACTTTTACGTATTTACTCGCATAATGAACGCAGCCCCCCTCCCCCCCCCCCGGGTACCAATATTTGGACTTTTTGCGTGATGAACGCACCTCCAGTTCTCGGCTCCACGAGCCTTGATTTGCGTCCGACTTAGCTAGCCACCATGCCCACCAAGCCATTTTTCTTTTGCCACCAAGCGGTCAGACCAAGTCAAGCCAAGCCAAGCCAAGCCAAGCCGCTCTGGTAATGGCTGCAAGTGCATAGTTACGGAAGTGATCAACCGTGAAATAGGGCGGCGCGCACACTTGATGAAGCTTGGGTCGAGGATTTGCCCAGTCCCGAACATTGTTTGCCTATCGGATGCATTGGTGTCAACAAGCATGCCGTCCTCTGTGGTTAACTTTTGGCCAGTGAAATCGTGAAAGTCGTAGGCCTAAGAACGATCATGTTGCTCTCCGTGCTGAGTGAGCTTCATGGGGCGCTTTTCCTTGGCAAAAGGCAAGCCGAAAGTGCCCTAAAAAGGTTAGCACTTTATAAAGCATGGTTGCTGTGGCATGCCCACGACCAGCTGTGGGTATGCCTCCATCAGTGGAGACGTGCCACAGTACCTTGCCTTGCCGTATTGGCACCTAATATGACATTTACACGAAGTGTGTAAATGCAAAAATTTTACCTCGCCTAATGAACGCAACCCCCATGTAAATGTCAATTTTTCTGGAAAAATGTGTGTGCATTATGCAAGTAAATACAGTAATTGAGCAAACTTCAAGGGACACAAGAAAATAGTTCATTTAACTGAAAGCTCACTAAACTGAATACAGTCAAACCTCGATGTAACAAACTTAGATCTAACGAAACCCCCGATGTAACGAAGTACAAAGCTTTTTCTAACCGCAAGTGTATGCACGCCATGCATTTTTTACCTCCATGTAACGAAGCCCCGTTTGCCGAAATTTTGATGTAACGAAGTTTCATGGCCAATTCGTCACAAACGTTTGGGTCCCAAAGGAGATTTTGGGAAGCACATGCGCTGAAACGGGCCCCCGATAAAGGGCAAAAAGTGAAACGGGCCGAATCTGGCGAGTGTGGTGTACAGAACGGCCATTAGAGACACTAGAAGTGCCGCCGTTTCGTTCGTCGGCTTCGTTCGCACTGCGTAGTTCGTTTCGAGGCCTAACTAGACGCGTGCGTTTCTCATCGTCCTGGTTGATGGAGCTTTGAAGGCGATGGAGCCGCTCCCGACAATGTCCACCTCGACAACTTTCTATAAGCCGACGCTGCTGTCATTGCAACGGAGGAAATGACCAACGAAGCGATAGCTAGCGATGTTCGTGGGAACTTTGAAGACGGGGACGACATCGAGCCTGATGATTAATTCACCTGCGATGTGCCGAGTAACCGTGAAGTGGTGGACGCGATCGATGTCTTGAGGCAGTTCGTGAGCACACAGCTAGACAAAGACGCGATGCAGGCCATCTCGTTATGCGAACGTCGCGTGATGCCGATAATAATGCCAAGAGTGACCCAGATAAAAGTGATGGACTACTTTCAACCGAAATAAAGGCGTCCTCAATGAGTTTTGTGCACCCGAGAAACATTTGTGGAAACTTTCTTTAACGTTAGCCCCGAATTTCTATCTGGTGAAATTTCAATGTAACAAAGTAAATTCCGAATTTCACCGACTTCGTTACATCGAGGTTGGACTGTATATTCACTAGAATATGGAACAGCATAGGGCACAGCACACATAGAGTCAAAAATGTGAAATGCTATTGGTGGAGTCATGTATTCAAGCTTCGACCTTGGTTTCACTATCAATGACAACGTCAATGATGGAATTCCATAGGCCTTCGTAACGTCCACTTGCCTTTGACCGTTGTGCAGACGCTGAAGGATTTTGAGCTTGTTTGATAGAGACAACCGCTTCCGTTACGTCATACTCATTACGAAAGTGGGCACACAAACTGCCGTCCTGGCATTGTTACCCAAAACTAAGTCGGCCAAACGGAACCGATGATAAAGAAAAAATTAACCGCATCTCCACGTTGTGAATAATGTTGATTGGGGTGAAGCTTTGGTGGTGATTGTCTGCATAGACGCTGAGCCGCAGCATGCCGACCGAGCATTTCGATCGTTTTCATCTATGTGAGAAGGAGAATGTGTGGTATGGAATGTGGTTATATACGCATTTGAGCATTTGACCGCAGTGCCCTCTCGTCTATAAACATTGAGCCAATGCATGCAAAGTTTAACGCGATTAAGCGCGAAACACATGTACGACGAAACCGTCCGATCCGACGTGCAGACTGCCGGAATGACCTTGGGGGAGAGGGTTTTCGTAGCATCGGAGAGCGTTGAAAACCCTCGCCTCCGACCGTCGTCGGACGTCGGATCGGACGGTTTCGTCGTACATGTGTTTCGCGCTTTATATATGCATTTGACCGCAGTGCCCTCTCCTGTATAGACGTTGCGCGGCTACATGCAACGTTTCATCCATGACATCCACATCTCTTGAGTTACTACCACATCTCAGAGCCCCCCTACTCATCCCGCAGTCGTGGCCGAGTGGTTAAGGCGATCAACTAGAAATCCATTGGGGTCTCCCCGCACAGGTTCGAATCCTGTCAACTGCAAAAACATTTTTTTTCGCCTTACACGAGCACTAGCAGGGTCGATGTGAGCACGGACGCTGGACGGACAAGGCTAGACTCTAAGGAGCTTTGCCCCTAAAACAGACACACCATGTGGTTCGTTTTCGTCTTCTGTATGGCTGCTTTTTCTCGGCGACGCTGTAACAGCCAGCGATGATATGCCGTGGCTGCAGAGGCAGCGGAGGCGGGGCGGCAGGCATCGGCTGTACCAGCACTGCAAAGCACAAAACTTCGTTAAACTGATTTTAAAAATAATCGTTGGTCCACTGATCAAGTTCGTAGAACTGAAATGTTTGCTATTCCGAAATCTGTTAATTCGTTTGACTGAAACATCTTTGCATAGAATGCATAGGAAAACTGCCGGGGATTTTTTTAAAGTTCGTTATTCTGAAATATTTGTTAAAGCGACATTTGCTCAAGTTTGAGCTTAATGTAGTTCCTTTTTCAAAAGTTTGTCGGACAATGCTGGCGGCTGCCACAATATTTTGGGCTTCTACTCCGGTGTGAAGCCCGGAGTCGTAGCCCAAAGCGAGTTTATGTTGAGTGCCAATGCAGCACTCACGTCGAATAGGTTTGCACCCGAGTACATGCTGACGAAGCAATCGTGTCCAATGCACGCTCAGGGTGCATACTTTCATTCGCCACCAGACGGCGCATATTTTTGAAAATGGTTGGGGGAATGTCCTAAAAGTGTAAAGAAAATTACCATTTTTTTTTAACACTTGAGATTGGGTGGAGTAGCTCGATGCAACCAAAAAAAGAAAACGTGAAAAGGATGACAAGATCCGACGTCTCGAGACGTCGGTTTTTGTCGTCTTTTTCCCGTCTCTTCTACTTTCGTTGCTTCAAGTTTCTCCACCTAGTTTTGGGTGCTTCGAGAAAAACCGGGAACTTACACCAGCTCGCCTACACCGTCGCCATACTATCAAGAAAAAAAAATGAGGCGAGCGTGAAAAGGAGCGACAGAAGGCATGGAAAAAAAATGAAATGCGAATGATGCAATACCTGACACAAAATTAAAGAACAAATAGCCAACGTTTCTCGTCTTTCCAGGGGCCACCTACTTCCTGTTGCTTTTGTATGGCTGGGCAGCCATTCCCTTCAGCTACCTCTTCTCGTACGTGAAGAAAACGCCGTCGGCTGGCTACGCCCTGTTGACCACGATCAACGTCATTACCGGTAAGTCCAAGATTCTCTTCTCTTCGCGTTGAAACGAGGCAGGTGAAGGCTGGCTCGCACATGTGTGCTCCAGTGGATTGCATTTTCTCGTATCCGCCTACGACATAATAGCTTAAGACATTGAGGAAATAAACGCAGTAGCTGAGTTTGAGACATTCTTTCCCCTGCCTTTCTTCTTCGACCAAGTTTCCTTGCCTTTACCACAGTCTCGGGTTTTCTACATCATGATGAGGGCACGGCGGCGTCACCTGTTGGGTAACCCTGGAAATAGTTCAGTCCGGCACGTGTATTTTAAATTATTTTTTCAAGCATTATTTTTTTACTTTTGTCTCGAAAAAATTTTCTCGGAAATACTGCAAAGCTTCGGTCTAGTTATATACGCTGGTTGGATTCCAAGGCCGGCGATGGATGGTGACAGTGTGATGCACTTGAGGCCACTCGGATGCAAGTGCGCTAACCACCCTCAGGCCTATGGGTGCTTCGTGCAGAGGGCAAGATTTATGCTACACGATGGGATTAAGCGATACCAAGGGGTTAAAACAACGTCGTCTGCTGCAATTGGTCAGCGGCGTGGCGCTGACCAATCGCAGCAGACGACGTTGTCCCGATCACTTGGTTCCGCTTGGTCCCGCTGTGTATGATAGGGCCCTAGGTCGTATGGAGGAAGTGACGTGGCGACTGATGCCAAGTTTTTTTTAGACCGATAAGGTGCGTAAAATATCTCGGTAGCCCCGCTGCGCTGGACTCCTTGGTCTGCAGCGTTCCTGTGGTGCGGTGGTTTGCGTCGATGAAGCCAACCCTTTGGACGACAGAAGTATGTCTGGTCTTGTGGCTTTCTTTTCAGGTTACGGGCACAGTTTTGAAAGCAGAATTACGAGTGTCTCTTGACACGCCGAAAGGTTCAGATTCTGAGATAAATATATAGAGCGACACCGATCAAGGTGCAACTTGGTGATGTAAAGGGCACCGCGAGAAAGAAGGTGGCAGCTTGCCTAATTGTTTCCTAAATGGCTCAAAATCTCTGACAATACAAAAATCTGAGCATCTAAAAATTGTGTGCAAACCTTTGGACTAGCAGTACTGGTGGCATTCTCCATCAAATGTATACAATGCAAAATGCAAAAAAAAAAAAAATAAATAAAGGAAGAAAAAAAGAATTAAAATTTGTGCAACATTTACGTTGTGACTCGAACGATTCTGAAATTTCAGTGATGTGATTGCTGCGCCAATTGCGCCAAACTGCGCCAAAGGGCTAACCCTGCTACATCCTGCTACATTTCACCGAAATATGGCTAATCTGCGCCAAGCCTGCGCCAAAGGACCAATTTCGGTAGCCTTTCAAAAACGAAACTAAGAACCGTAATTGAGCATGCAAGAGCTAGGTGGCACAAAACGCCGCCCGACACAAAGTACCCTGCATCAATCGTCCATTCGGTCTTGCATGATTTTTCCCGTCGTCTTGCGTTTTGCGCTCTCGTTGTCTCGGAAATCTCGTCTCGCGCCTTTTTCTTTTTAGAGCGCAGCTCTTAGGGGCCCGTTTCCGGCTTAAGCGCCCTCGGCGTAACCGCGAGGTCACGTGACCCCCCCGAGGTCACGTGACCCCCCCGAGGTCACGTGACACCCCTAGGTCACGTGACACCCCTAGGTCACGTGACCCCCCTAAGGTCACGTGACCCCCTGAGGTCACGTGACTTCTGGGGGTCACGTGACCCAATGAAGTCACGTGACCTCAAGGAGTCGCTTATCCCTCAGTACGCTTCCATCTTTCTCCTCAAGAGCTGCGCTCTAACCGGCGTTACAGGGAATTGTAAACGGCTTTCATTTTTTTTTTTCTTTTTTTTTAGCGATAGACGTGGGCGTGTGCGGATGCTCCGACGTTAGTGTGCCGGGTTCCAGCCATGCCGTCATGCTGTGAAACAAAACCATGTTTTTGCATGGCGAGAGTTACTTTGTGAGCTGAAGCGCTCGCGCGACCACAGTCGCCGTGGTCGCGCGACGTCGTCTGTTGCCGTCCCCACGTCGCTGCAGATATGGCGCTTTCTAAACTGAAACGCATCGACATTTCTGCTCTTGCTTAAATCATACGCTGCTATAAAAATCCCTCTTTAACTCAATTAATGCTTGGCGAAGTTTTGATTACCTAGGTTTCTCTCGGTGGGCTTTCTTTCGACAGGGACCCCGGTACGTGAAAACTCTGCCGCGAACGAAAGTTGATGACGAGAAGCGAGCTAAAGCATCGAAGGCAATGTCTGCACGCTGAACCCACACAGCGCGCTTTTTTGTCTCGAGTTCAGTCGTTGCACAAAGCGCTCCAAGAACTTTTTTACCTTGATTCGTAATGTCTTGCATTGATACTCTCAGGTTCTATTTTCCTGTGTGTTTAGCCTGTACCTCGCCTGCCGGCCTGGCAAGCACGTGCCGCTGGTCTTTTTATTGTCGTATGCTGGACAGTTACATTTTGCATACTATTTTGGGAACCAGTTGGTGGCATGGTTTCGGTTTCGGTCGAACAGCCGTTGTCTCCGCTCGCGCGGTGAATCACGTATAACTGCAAGCCTGCCGAAGTTGCCCTCACGTGCATGTGAACATGATTGCACGAGAGGCACCAGCTGGGACGCTTGCAATTCATTGTTTTAGGTTTGCTTACTTTTAAAAAAAATCGGCCACGTCGGGAACTAGTAAAACGATAGCAAGTGTTGTTTTTTGTTTTTGTTTTTCGGAATTTTTCGGCAACGCTTGCAGCTTTGTATACTTGTGGGATATCTCAGCACCACAAACACAAGCAGCGAGTTCCGCCCCAACACGTCACATCACAACACAACACAAAGTGGCCCTCGTTTGTCCAGCACTTAAAACAAATATTAATTTTTCTAAGAATATATGCTCCAAACGTCACTTTTTCTGCTCTGAAACACTGTTTTGGCTGCTCCAAAAGCCACTTTTGCTGCTCCAAAACACTGTCTTGGCTGCTCCAAAGTCCACATTTGCTGCTCCAAAACACTGTTTTGGCTGCTCCAAAAGGTGCTCCAAAATGGACTAGGCCAATCACATCACCGAAATTTGCTTATATTTTGGGGTCAACGTCTCCAAAGAGAAAAACGTTTTGGAATTTCTCCTTGCTCAAACATGTTTTGCTGCGTAAATAATGTGATAAATTTTAATCTTTTTTTTTTCCCACATTTTTCTTCTTGTGACATATACATATTTTATTTAGTCGTGTAACATTTTTTTTTCTTGGCAGTTCAGTGTTCTTTCTTTTTTTTTTTTTATATATAGACTGCAGGGTTCTTCCCGAAAAGTTTTTAGGGGTCGACATAACCACCATGTGAGCGGCGGGGAGGAGGGGGGGGTAGTTTGCAATGCAGCACGATCTGGCTTGCTGATAGAACACTCTTTACGTAGGTGCCCTAACTTTCTGGCCCTGTGAGTGGCGCCACGCTGCGGTGATGAAACAAAAACCAAATTGCCATGGGAAAGAAAGAAAGTGGGGAAGGAAAGGCGGGGAGCGAGCGAAGTGGCGAAGATAAAGCAAGCCACGGCGCAAGCAACCATTGAGCAGTCAAAGAAAAGTCCTCTCAGCTTTCTGCTCTCTGTCACTCACTGCCTGCGAAGTGAACTGCTGCACGTTCATTGCGCCGTTTATTTTGCATATCTCCTCAGCCAAGCACCAACTGCTGGCGACACTCTGCGGTTCCGCTATCCTTGTTTGAAAGAGTGGCGGCAGTTGCAATAAGACACTCTGACTTGGGGTGCTTAGGTGTGCTAAGTACGACAGTCTGCAGCCATGTGTGCAGGCAAAATCGCATCGTCATCCTGTGGCATAGTTGAGCGGTGGGGAGTCGGAGCGGTGGGCGGCAAAGCCACAGCACCGTGGGGAGAATCCTTATAGACTGCAGAGAAGGGTATACGTGCAAGCACGCTGGGAGCACCAGCTTAAACGACGTGCTTGCACTCATATTGTAACCTTTACAGTACTAGCTCATGCCACGGGGATCCTGTACGAACGGCCACCTTTGGTGAAGGGATGAATGTGCGAAAGATGTCGGGTGGACGATTTTCAGACTTGTGGCGGCAAAGCGTTTTCAAAATTGGGCGATGAACAGCAGAGCACCCACCATAAACAATATGACGTGGCACCCGATACCACAGAGTGCAGGCATGGCAAACTCTGGTTTAGCATGCGGGAAACCTTTACGAACGCCCGTGTTTCAGTAACTGATAATGTCGCAGACGCGGCAGATTCGCATTTAATAATACAATATACACGCGGGAGACAAACTCGCATGTCACGAGAACCGTTAGCGCGCGCGCAGATCGCAGAAACTGGAGTTCCGTGGCGTGGCAAAAACACGCGGGAAACCGCTACGAGCTTGCATGTCGCAGAAACCCATTATGGGCTCTCAGATCACGTGCCGACATTCCGTCACATGCGGGTTCGTATGCGAGTTTGCGCGCCACGGGAACCAATGCCGCAGATTGCGGACGCAGCGAATTCACATTTTACAGTGCCATATACAAGCGGGAACCCACTAAGAACTCGTTTGTCACGTGGGGAGTGAATGACGTTTTGGAATTTTTAATCCAGAGTTATTTACTCATAGAAATGAAAAAACCGGATGGGCGGTTCTTCGAGCAAAGGGCGTTCGTATGAACTTTCACGGCAAACAATTTTTTAAAGCACCTCTTTTAGTGGGCACACTACGCTCTATCTCCTCCAGGCGTGATGCTGAGCATCGTGATATCCGTAGTCTTCTTCCTGGGCAAGCTGAAGGTGTTTGGCATCGACGAAGAGGCCCTGGCCAAGTCCATGTGGGCCCTGAGGCTGGTGCCTGGGTTCTCGGTTACCTGGGGCTTCGCCAACATCCATGAGATCGGCGGAGACCTCCGCAGGTGCTCCCAGATCCCGGAGGCCATGCTCAAAAGCTACTGCCCTATGGCGGCGGTGTTCAACATTGAAGTCTGCTGTCAACGTATGGATCGCTCTCTTTTTTTTTTCTTCTTTCCGTCTTTTGGCTTTGTTTACGTCTGACGGGTGCCCAGAATGCATCTTGGACTTTTGTGTTTAGATTCTTGTCCCGTCCGATGGCACCATCTATGGGGTAGCCTTGGAACCTTTTCAATTTGTCCGAAGGTTACTCAGTATTACAAAATCAAACCTATAGTCGTCTGGAAATAGGGCTTCTGTCCAAATATTTTCTATTTGAATTTCGAGCATCTAAGCCTTTCACTACAGCACAAATGCTTCAACGAAAACCTGGCCGAACTCGTGAAGGTTGTTCCTAAGCTTTCACGTGTCCGTTTCTAAGCTAAATTATTTTGAATATAACTATGTTTATTGACTGTAGTCTCCGAAAATTCAGGTCCTATGTTGCGTTGCGAGTAAACGACGCATTTGACATACAAGTAAATCTACACGATGCCCAGCTATGCCTAATTGAGGGGATTTGAAATGTTCTTGCTGTATACAGATGCCTTTTCTCTAGTCACGAATGATTAATGCAGGTTCCTGGGACGTCTCTGCCTAATTCATACTCATGCAAAATAGCCAGTTTAATTTTTGAAATTTTACTGAAATGCAGATACAACATTCACAAATTTCACAAAATTTTCATTTCTCTTTAAGCACACCAAACGCGTGCGTACACCATCCCACATTGAAAGTGCGCTTCCCTCTTAGGCACGCGGCTGCAATATTTGTACTTTTCACTAGTGATGGACCGAATCTGCCAAACTTCAGATTCGGCAAAGATTCAGAAAATTCGGCAAATGTTTGCGCACGTGCGAGGACACAATGGGGCCAGCGAGGCCATGATTTCCGAATGGATGCCGTGCGGTTACGATTGTACATTGTAGTACAGTAGTACGGTGAGGTGCGCAGCAGGCGACATGGTAACTGTGTGTTTGTCAGCCTTTGCGAGGGTGCTTCTCTTAAATATTTTCTGCCTCAAGGACGGAAGATTGTGCGCAAGTGAAGCATGATGTGGTACATTCTCTTGGCAGTTGCAACATGGTAGTTGCAACATCGGCTGACAAGAACTTTAAAGTACTCCTCGCAACTATGTTAATCCTGCTTTTGACTAACACATAGTTTGTGCCAAGAAAAATTTAATATTGCTTTTTAATTTCCGTTATTCGGCGGTTTTCATCGATGCGCATGAAACTAAACACAACTATCATGCTCGACGTTGCACATCGGACATTTCTGACTCTTTCCATCTCCCTAAACGTCCGCGTCGGTCCCAACATCAGAAACCGGCGTTTTAATAGTTGAAAACGAGACGTCGCAAATATGGTACGCACACTTTCATGAAAAGCTGGTGTCAAGTGACTGAAGTGGAAGGACATGCATACTTGCAATAATGTGATCTCTTTTGGTAGAGGCTCAGCAGCCGTAGCATTCATTTTCGGTGACTCGCACAGAAAATAAGAACACAGTGTTACCGACTTTATTTTAACAATGTGCACACACTTGCAGGCTTGCGCTAATGAGGCCTCAAAACCAAAACTTGCGTATCTTGACTGCGTGCGCTTCTACCCAACCTCGTTGTCATACCACTTCTGCAAGAAGTCGCTGTAGAATCGCCAGGAAACGCAAAAAAAAATGACACCGATGCAGTTACATTGTAGAATATCACCTTATGTAGTTATAACTGTGTCAATATGCACTACACGTTGCATTTAAGGTAAAAAAAACTTTTTCGCCAGTAAAAACGAAGTATCAACTTGAAGTCCGGCAACAATGTATTTTTGCCGAATCTTTAGAAAAGTAAAAAAAAACTTCGGCTTTGCCGAATTCCAAGAATCGGCTCCGAATCTTTGATTCGGCAAAAGTTAGGCCCATCACTATTTTTGCTAGTTGATCGCGACGTTTTTAGCCCGTTGAGTGCACTTCTTTCTGAGCACCAGTGCACCGGGGAAAAGCACCATCCACAGAAGAGAGCTCCGCAAGTGTTGCTTGGCAGGTGTCGCTTTCAGGTGTGCTATCCATTGGGATACTATGGTAGGCAAATGTGAAACGTTCCAGGGCTTCCCGACAGATATGTGCTGTCGAGTTATGAGCTGTAACAAATGGTTCCAGTGCAGTCAATTGCAGTTACAAACTTTTATCTGCTTTTCTACACGTCCTTCACCGGCCACCACAAAACCACCAGCATGTCGAAGGTGCCATACATGCTGGGACGACGACAGCTGTCGAAGTGGCTGGACTGAACTCCGAAAAGTGTCTATTGCGCCCTGTTCACTCCAGTGCTTGTTTGTCCAGGCTTACAGATCAGAAGTTTTGCGCAATGCATGTCATGCGAAACTTTTTTTTTTTTTCTTCTTTCTTCAATCGCAGCTTGTCCGGATGGACATGGACACTGCTACGTGCCCCGGTCGGCGTTCAGCTTTTCCGAGTTTGGCGCTGGGAGGGAGATGGCACTGCTCTTTATTGTTGGGATCTTCCTGTTTGCGCTGCTGGCCTTTTTTGAGTCCAACGTCTACGGCATCTGGTACTCCATCAAGTCCTGTCTTGGCAGGAATGGCAGGGACATCGGAATCACGCAAAGAAGTGAGTGGAAGCTGCCGTCGAGCAAAATGTCTGAATTCGTCGCGTAGGCTTACTTGGCGGGAAGGTTTTTCTTTTTTTATTGAAGTACCATACTGTATTTACTCAAATCTAACGTGCCCTCAATATTTCGAGGTCCGAATTAAAAAAAAAAAAAAAAAAAGAACGCCATGAACTCGACTGTTACGCGCCCCAGATTTTGTAGGTTGGATACAGAAAGGAAACTTTTTTTCACTTGGAACATTGAAGGTTTATTCCAAATGCTTCAATCTTGCGATGAAACGAACGGCGCTGTCTCTCGGCGGCAAGGTCGTCATCACGACGATGGTCCGGTACAGCGCCTGTGGGGCGGTATGCATCACTCATCGTCGTTGTCGGACAACTCCTTATCGCTGTCAATGGCCCAAAGCCATTGACATGACGTCCATAGCGTTAGAAATTCCGCAGTTCTTGAAGGCCTTGATAACCATGGCAGACGGGATCATGCGCCATACATCTTTCGCCCATCCAGAGAAGTCCTGCAGCGATGCAAGTTTCTGGAACATTAAACGCGCGTGATGCGGCCCAATTTCCATCGCTGTCCGCGCACAATGTTACTTTTCTTTTGAATCCAGCATCATGGCGAACGCGGCGTGTCTTTGCAGTGGGAACTTCCACACTGATATGAACGCAAGAAACACACGAGCTGGCCACGCTCTAAGCCTCTCGGCCTCTTAGCGCGTAATGAAGCGGCCACTTTGAAATGTGGATGGCGATTTGGTAGCGCAGTTTTGGGTCGCACTCGATTCTAGCGCGCATGCGATCTTTGGACGTATTTTCCCGGAAAAAAGGTGCGCGTTAGATTCGTGTAAATGCCGTACTTGCCCAAAATAATGTCCACCTTTTTTTCTTCTTTTTTTTTTTTTTTTTTGGAAAACGCATTGAAAAATTGCTTGTAATTTATGGAACCGATATCAGGGTCACGTTAGAGTTACTATTGTTTTGTATAAAAACTAGGTGTGCATTAGAATTGGGTGTCCAATAGTTTTCATTGGGATACCGTGCTTACCTCGAGGGAAACATACAGAAAAAAATGCCTCCATGTTAAAATCGGGTGCAAAATCGATATCGGGGTCATGTTAGAATTATTGTTCATTAATATAGAAAAAATCTGAGTAAGCATTAGAATCTTATATACGGTATTATCAATAGTGTTCCACTGCTCACCACATGTGTGACGCACATCGCAGCACAGTTGCAGTTGAACGAAGACGCATAGGTTGTAAGCTCATCCCTGCCCAAACCAGAGTCTGGTGAACTTGAGCTCATGTTCTTTCAATCAAGTATTCAGGATTATTGTGCTCCAACATTTTCAGCACCACAGCAGTGTTATGTGACCAACATTTGGTAACAAAATTATAGCAATAGGACAAAAAACTGTTACAATGGATACACACCACCAAATCTCAGGTGATGCTCATTTTGTGTAAACGCTAACCTGCTACACTGAACTACCGATGCAGTGAGAGCCATTTTACTCACGTCTGTTGTGGTGAAATGTTGTTTTGGGGCCGGTCATGCACCTGGTTGTTGCTATAGGTGAATTTGCGACTGACAGACTGTAAGTGAAGTGAAAACTTGCCTTTTAGTCGAATGTGACTATATAATTATAATCTCTCTCCAGCTATGTGACTATACATGAAGAAAAAATGTCTGCTTTAGCTCTATAAATGTATGTACATATAGCCACAACCAAGTGCCTAACAAACCTACTAAGGCAACATCTCTGCATTGCAAATTCACAAGCAGTAGTTCAATGGCCTGAGACCTGCTCAGAGGGACTGCTGCATTCAAACTTCTAGATACATATCTTTAAAACTGCACCTTTACATGCCAGAGTTTTTCATTTGTGGATGCATTGTGTTTGGTGAGGTAATTAGGGTCCAAGTCTGAGTTTTGAAGATACTACTTTGGTTGTAATCATTCTCCTATTGCAGGAACATTTTGTCCTAAATATTATTTAACAAAGAAACAACCTTTTCTGCTATGGAATCTTATGGCCTCTTCTAACGCTGCCTGCTTGCCATTGTCTCTTATTCTCTGCGTTTCTTTTCATTCTTGTCCAAACAAGACATAGAAATGGGGAATGAAAGTGCGTCAGCGGTGGCGGAGGACACCGACGTGGCAAAAGAACGGGCGATAGTCGAGGAACTGATCAGGACCAGCCGTGCAGACGACGAAGCCCTGGTTGCCGTCAACCTGAAACGCTGTTTCAAGACGCTTCAGGTCAGTGTCGTAAAGACAATACTTTGGTTTTTCTGATAGGGACGTTGGTGCTCCGACGATTCCTCTATAGTCGCCGACCACGGACCTTTATTTAGGGGATGCGTTCATTGCGCGGGCTAAAATGTTTGCATTTACACTCTTCGTGCAAGTGTCATATTAGGTGCCATCTCTGACACGGTAAGGTACTGGGATACGTCTCCACTGACGGAGGCGCTCCCATGGCTGGTCGTAGGTGCACCACAGTAACCATGCTTTATAAATTACGAACCTCTATAGGGCGCTTTCGGCGTGTTTTTTGCCAAAGGAAAAGCGCCCTACGAAGCTCACTCAGCACGGAGAGCGACACGACCGTTCTTAGGCCTAACCACTTTCACAAGTTCACTGTTCGAAAGCGGACTACAGACGGCGGTGTGTTTGTTGGCATCAATGCATCTGATAGGCGAAGAATGTCTGGGGCTGGGCAATTCCTCGACCAAAGCCTCAACAAGTGTGCGTGCTCCTCGGTTTTACGGTTGGTCACTTCCGCAACTAGGTACGCACTTACAGCCATTACGAGAGTGGCTTGGCTTGGCTTGACTTGGCCTGACTGCCTGGCGACAAAAGAAAATTGGCTTGGTGGGCTAGCTAAGTTGGATGCAATTCGAGACTCGCGGAGCCGAAAATTACAGATGCATTCATTACGCGAGGGAAAAAAAAAGTCCAAATATTGGTCCCCATTGTGGGGGGTGCGTTCAATATCCCAGTAAATGAGGTACTATTATGTCAGTCAGAACCGAATAGTAGTTCAGTATCGTCTTGCATTGGAGTGCTGAGCTTTTGCTACATTTTCTATGTCTTGTTCGTCGCAATGCTACAAAACAGGCTGTCGACAACCTGACATTCAGAGTCCACAAGAATGAATGCTTCGGTCTGCTCGGAGTCAACGGCGCCGGAAAGACGACGACCTTCAGGATGCTCACTGGAGACCTGCCCATGTCGTCCGGCAATGCGTACATTGGCTCTGCCGACCTGCAACATCAACTGAAAAAGGTGGGGGGCCTCTGTTGTTCGGCAACCTTATCTATTGTTTCTGATGTCGGCACAGAGGGGTGATTTCATGGAACTACAGTGCAATCCACTTATAATGATACCGGATATAACAATGTACTGCTTATAACAATCAGTTTCTAGAGTTTCCAGACTAGAAACACTCAGTTTCTAGTTCACATAAACCGATAACCGGTTATAACGATTGAATTTTCGTGTTTTCTTATTATCGTTATGTGTGGATCGCTCTGTACAGTATAACCCTGTTACAACGGATCTCGTTACAGCAGACATTTGCTTACAACCTGCTGATTTGCGGAGTTTAATTGGTCTCTCAATCTATACCGTTGAGCCAACTTTGCTTATTACAGATTCTGTTACAGTAAAACCTCACTAATTCGGATCTCGTGGGACCGTCAAAAATGTCAGAATTATCCTAAAGTCGAAATATCGAAAGGACATAGAAAACTGCGGGAAAATGTTTCCCTGTGACATACCTTTATTTTGAGAAGAAATATGTTATTACCGCCTGCTTTCTGAACGACACTTGGGCGGACACGGCAACTTTCCTTAGCGCGGTCAAGTGCTCCACCGCACTTGCACTGTCGGAGCTACGCATCCCGTGCGCGAACAATATAGCGCAGCAAGGCCTCTTCTAGTTTCGGGTGCACCACCTTCCAAGGCCGCTTTCTTTTCGCGTTGAACTTCTCACTCTCGAAAGCCCGTAGGATATCAACCTCAATTTTCACGTATGTGGCCAAACTGCTTCTCTTGACGTCGTAACTTTCCATCACTTGTCGAGAGACGCCGTCCTTCAAGGCCCTCAGTATCTCCACTTTCGTCGCTAAATTCGTAGCCTAGTACAGCTGCAACGGGAAACGAGTAGCACAACTGACCAATAATCGGAGTGGCGAAATCGCGACACCCGGTGCTATTTTTCCCGAGCGCGCCGATAGCGTGAGTGCCAGTCACGTTGCATTTTTCAACGCGGGGGTCGCCGGTGAAATATTGAGGGATAAGATAGCTGTTAAAATGGCGGGCTTTAGGATCCCCGCGTTGAGGCATAAAATGTGACTGTCACTCTCGCTATCGGCAGGCTCGGGAACAATAGCCCCGCGTGTCGCGATTTCGCCATTCCAATCGTCGATCACTTGTGCTACCCTTTTTCCGTTGCAGCAATGCTTCTCCCGCTTCCATGCCAGGAGAGTAACGCGTTGAAGCATGGCAAACCAGAGGCAAAACTGGTGCGAAACATGGAGAACTGGAAGAGCAAAGAACTCTGGGAAAACCGGAAAAACCATGTGTGCTCCTCGGATGGATAGCGATCATACCCTTTGGAATGGACAGTAGCTAGCGCCACGTACCGAATTCGTCCGAATTAACCATAGTGCGCTGCGTTCCCTCCGAATTAATGAGCGTTTGCTGCAATTGACTAATGCATACGTTTGACGGGACCGGATCGGCAGTTCAAATTATATAAATTTCCGAATTAGGGGGGGGTTGAATTAATAAGGTTTTACTGTACAACATACGTTGGGATATTGGACTGATTTGGGAAACTTGTGTACAGATTTTGTTGCAACGTGCAGTCGTATGTAACAGACTATATATTTTAGAGTTTGTAAGTAGTTCACTATTAAATTGTTGCGGGCTCTTCGACGGCTGTTGTTATTTCGGACATTACGCGGCTTTGATGCGGTAGCAATGGCGTTAATTTTGTGAACTGCTGTCATTGCACTCGGCGCCTTCCGAGCTTCGCAGGACCCAAAGTGCACAGTGACGACGACCGTCGGTACAGCACAATAACAAATCGCCATTTTTCAAAGTTCACAAGTTTCAATAAACCAGTCCTTTTCTAATATCCCTTTAGATTTATTTAGTCAGTCTCGCCAGTTAGAACAGACTCCAGTCAAAATCCGCGTCAAAATCTGTGCATCCAACTCTCTTCCGTTGGATCACACCATGGTGGTGGCGCTTTGGGTGCACCTCCAGTCGGGGGATGTTGGCGGAAGTTGCCGCGCAGGACGGGGCATTTCTGTGTCGTTTTGGACGAAGCCAGACTAAAACCTGCCTTCTCGTCAAAACGCCGCGACTGGTGGTTGTGCCAAAAGTATCGGGAAGGTGGGAACGTCAGTTTTCAGATGTTTTTTGCCTTCTTGGTTCGTCCGAGAACATGGATAGGTGCCATGAAGAGGGAAAACCAAACACCCTCAAACCATGTATGCTTGTGCGGGAAACACTTTGGGTCGAAGTCGCGGATACTTGGGGTCGTCAGACTTATTTGTTTTGTTCCAATATGAACGCTGGAAAGCCGTAAAAATGTCTGGACCATCACGGACCACGTTCAGTGTGTCTTCATATTCAACCTGTTGTCTGCTGTTTCAAACCCGTCTGCTTGTTCAAACTGCCGTCTGCTCGTTCTAACGACAGCGACCTGTAGACCAAACGTATACTCGTTAATTGTGATGAGAAGTAATGTGCAGGCCTAAGAGACTTTTAAGATCGAAGGCTGTTTGGTGTAAGCAGGCTCGGTATAAACAGAAGATACAAATCATGTTGAACATTGTTACCAGCAGCCATCACCGAAATGTTATGCCTGATTTACTTGGTCTGCCTCTGCTTGCGATATTCAGTATTGATGTCGAGCATTGGAACTACCATTCACGCTTTTGCAGCCTAAGCAATGTCTCGATTAAGAATACCGAGTAGAATCATCGTGTGAATTATGCTTTAGCTTCCATTCTGTGGCGTTCGTGCAGAAAGAATCGCTGCACGTCACACTATTTATGCAAAGTTTTCCAGTGTAAGGAGCCTTGTTAATTTTGCTTAGGCCACTAAAGTAGTAAGACATTGCTAGGAAGACATTGCATCAACAATTCTAATGCGAAAAATAGCACAAGGTCTCTCACTGACGCAAACAACATCACATTCTAATAATTTGTTGATGCGGGACAGTGTGCTTTTCGACCACACCCATCGCGCATGCGGAGCACCGGTAGCATGCTGCAAAGTATGCTCTGGTTTGTTTGTAAACACGTGTTGGTGTATAGTAAGATCATCCACATTTTGCATACCCTCTCTACAACAGTCCGAAATCTTCATCGCTAGCTAGGTCTCTTAAAACAAGTTTATACTTATCACCCAATTAGCTCTTGAGTACGAGTTAACTGTTAAGGGACAGTTGAGTTTCCTTGTCCAGGGTTACTTTTAGTAGAAATGCGTCAGAACTCGTGCTTCTCCTCTTTTAATGAAAATACCATGCTTAGAGGTTGTAAGATAATATACTAAAGATGTAGGTTTTTACGCTTCAAGACAAGCTTAAAGACAAAACGGCGGTACAATTCCTTGGTTGCTGGAGTCAATGCAATTTACGTCGAGGTTACAAAGTTGGGGTTACAAAGCTACGTATCTAGGCTTCATGGGTTCTACGACAACAGTCAAACACCCTCGCTAATTGCCGTTTGTTCGTCTTTCCACCAGCGTGGTGCGTCAATTGAATAGGGAGGCCAGCTCTCGTAAGGTTCTAGAACCTACGAGGTTCAAGAAGATCCGTGTGAACTGTGCGGAGTATTTACACATGATCCATCCGAATTAGCTGCAAGCGGGAATCATTTGCATTTGAGCTGACGAAAGTTCACTAACAGACATTTCGGCATGTAGCGTTTAACCAGTGACGAGAGCCCGTCGGACTTAAAAAACTATTACTTTTTTTTTTTTTAAATCACTCTTTTTTTATTTTTTCAGTTCCAGTCGATGATCGGCTACTGCCCGCAGTTTGACGCTCAAATCGATAAGCTGACCGGTCGAGAGACGCTCGAGATGTTTGCCCTCATCCGAGGGGTCCCGAGGCAGCACTTGTCCAACGTCGTCAACTACATGATTTCCCTGGCAGACCTCGAACAGCACGCGGACAAGCCAACCGAGGCCTACAGGTAAGCCTGCGAGCTTTCTAAACCACATTTGGTCAACACCGTAACTTCGATGCACACTAAAACGCGCATCTTTTCCTATTGGCCTCCGTCTTTGGTGTGTTCGAAAGCGCTACTTCTTGAGAACATCACTTAAAGGGCAACTCTGATCAAATTTCGATGTTGAGAAAACAATGCAGTCAGTGGCATACCAACTTGTTTTTGAGTGAGGGGGGGGCAAACCAGACTACTCCTCCCCCCCCCTCCTCCAGGGCCGGGGGGTGGTGCCCTTGGTATCCCTTGAGATCCACCAGCCAGTGTTTGCCCTGCCCTGTGGCAGCTGTTTAAGGAGGGGCAAAATACATGTCTTGCTCCCCCACTCTGAGAACTGGGGGGCAAGCGCCCCCCTTGCCCCCCTGGTTGGTACGCCCATGAATGCGGTCTTATGTCGTATCATCTAGAAAGCCTATACGTAAAACATTCCGGTGCTATTCTGCCTAAAAGCTTAATAAACCGGCCAATGAATTTGGAGCGGCTCCACGGTCACCAAAATCCACCCAACCGCACGGAGCAGTGCGGTCAACGCCGCTGTATGGACACAGCCAACACTGCAGAGAACGTCAACAACTGGAAGAATTGTTTCGTTCGTTTCTTACTTTTCGAGGCGCGAAGTGCGAGGGCGAGAGAGAAAAGAGAAAGTGTGCGGCGCTGTCCGCCGCTTTTGTTGACGACATGGCAGACGTCTCCGTACCACGCGATGTCCAGTAGTTGACGAGCAGGACCAATGTTGCCTGCCGCATGCAAGGTTTCGGTTTCACTTTGTGATATTCGTTTAAATGAGGTTTGCAAGAAAATGGCTTAACTTCTCGGAAAACTAATGACATAGAACCGTTTATTAGTAGCTTTGACATGACAATCCTCTGCAATCTCAGAATTTTTGGAAATGACCAGAGTTGGCACTTTAAAGGGAAGCTGAAGGGGTTCTGTATTTGACTAGAAACACTAAAATCAACTTCATTTGGCCTCCAAGATGATGAATATCGAAATTATTTTTAATTTGGTGCACGGAGGCTGCAGAAAATCATTTTTAAAATACTGTTGAAGCCCCTCCTTCCTGGATCGTTACGCTATAAAAGGAGTTTTTGGAATCGCGCATCTTCAGCGCTTACCAAAGCTATGTATGCACACTGTTGCTATTTTCAAAAAAGTTGGAGAAAGACGTCACGACTGGTGTCAGTGCGGAAGTATATACCTGGCAAGCTTGCAATTGCACACGCTGCCCACTCGAGCGACACATGCTTGGCGGCCGAAAGATCCTTTAACAATGTAACAGCTGGTCGGAGTTGTTTTTTTTGTTTTCTCGAATTACTCTAAAGCTCACCTCTAACTCGTTTCTTTTTTTTCAAGAACCTCTTTTGCTTCCTTTTAAGGCCAGTACCCACATTTGCATTTGTGCACATGTTTCGTGTCCATGAAAGGATTACAAGTCTATCTAACAAAAGATGCCGGGGTACAATAGCCCGTTGCAACCTAAGAATGTACGGCGAGGGTAAGACGGGTCGGGGAGGAGGAAGCAGAGGGAACGCTAAAGAGATAAGGAGGTTTCTCCCTCTCTTCTCCAGCGTTCCGTCTGCTTCCTCCTCCCCGGCCCGTCTTACCCTCGCCCTACATTCTTAAGTTGCAACGGATTATATAATGTGTTCTCTTGTCATAAGCAGGCAAGGAAATGCAACTCACTGAAGCACGGTCAAATGCCATTGTGTGAACCAGCCTTAATATTTTTGACTTTATGAACTGCCATTTGCTTGTATACTCGCTGATTGTGGCACACCGCCGTTTATTCCTCTTGTTACCAGCGGGGGCAGCCGGAGGAAGCTTTCCATAGCAATGGCGCTCATCGGCAATCCTCCCGTGGTGTTCCTGGACGAGCCCACGGCAGGGGTGGATCCCGCGGCGAGGAGGAAGATCTGGCAGGGCCTGGACGACGTGCAGAAACTGATGGGCGCCGCGGTCATTCTCACCAGTCACAGGTAATTACTGCCGGCGTTAAAGTTGTTCGCTCTCAGGCCTTGGTTGAGCTTGTTGCTGCATTTTCTTGTCATCCTGGTCTCGTTAATTCTCGTTAACTTTATCTCTCTGCTACTGGAAGCTTGGGAGGTTCTTACCATGCCATGTGTGACTGTAGTTGACACTTTTAGTGTCCTGAGCCATGAATCTAGCTATCATTTGGGCATCATTTATGCATGTTTAATAAGAACATTTTGCATACTATAAGGGAAATTTGCATGTGCAGAATTTACTATGTAGCTTCACACCGATGTGTATGGGGATAGGGAAAGTAGTCGTTTAGGTGTTCTTTTTCTTCCTTAATTTCTGCAGGCGTGGAGAAGGCCCAGCACATTGACCCTTGCTTTTTTACTGACGATTAACTTCGAAGGTTTTCTAACATTTGTATGAGCTTCTAACACATTGAGAGCTCTGTCATTAATGTTAGCATGGTACATGGGCAGAAAGCTTTCAATTTCTCGTCGTCCCTCTCAAAGCTTTCAATTTCTCGTCGTCCCTCCCCTCCTCCCCCACCGCCCAAATACAGCTTGTCCCCAAAATAGTTGTTGTCTCATTTTAATAAAAAAAAATAAGCCAGACATCGCCGGGCGCTCAGTCTCTGCCGAAATGTACCACTGGCGGTCGGGACCTGATGCCAGAGTTTCAGGACAAATCGTGATCTGAACCAATTGCTGTGAAGATTTTCTGGAAATTTTAATTTGGGAAAATGGTGGCCGTCCGAACCCATGAGCACATGGGGCTGAATGGCACAAACCATAAGGAATGTGCCCCATTTTCCCATTGGAAGGTTTAAAAAATTCCAATGCTTTAATTGGAAAATTTTATGTCTTCAAGCACCATGGGTGATTTAAGGGTTTTCGACGTCGCTTCGCAAGTTCCTTGTTGGAACCACACCGTTAGATCCCGAGAAATAGCTATCCTAAAATCAATAGCAAATCGGATGAAAATAAGGAAGAAGCTAACTTTTGGTGTGCCAAAAAAAAAAAAAAAAAAAAATGAAAGATGTTTACAACTCCCTGTATTGCCGAATTAGAGCGCAGCTCTTGAGGAAGAGGAGAGGAGGGTACTGAGGGAAGGGTATACCCCTCCTCATCTGTACACTCCCCTCCTCCTCTCCTCCTCTCGTGCTCCTCCCCTCGTCCTCTGCTCCTCCTACTCGCCTCCTTTCCTCCTCCTCGTGCTTCTCTCTTCGGGTATTTCGCTATTGCGATATACCGTGCTAAACAATCTGAGTAGGATATATATATATATATTGTGGTATTTTCGCTCACCACTTGTCCGGAGAATGGAAATATAGTTCTTACATCTAAAAGCTCCACTCTATCTAAGTTATGCCGGTGCCAGGAAACAGGACAACAGGATCGATGCGGGAGAACGAGACAGCGTTAGGGTCAACGCTTTGACGAAGCACGTCATACTCTCGATGTCATCCTACTTGCTGTCGGCTCTGTCGAAGACTGCTCGGCGTTTTTGATTTCCTCAGCCTTAGTCTTGAGCGTGCTCCCCTGATATGGCACAGCAGAACAGCGAGTGGACGCCCCTCTATTGTGGAGTTCCTGCATGACTGGTATGAGGTTCTTTGTCGTGCACGAAATATTTGGTGAGTGCCGTAGGCGAGAGATACAGAGCTACCACGAGCAAGCCGTTCTCGACCTTGCCAACACACAATGTACCAACTTTGTCTGATGTGCCACAAAGATTGATGGGTACAGCACAGACCCGTACCCATGTAGATGGACACTTGGACGAGTTCACCACGTTTTCATATGTGCCTCCCTGTGATTTATGAATGGTGGTATCACTTGCCTATACAGTGGGTAGCTGACTTCTCTCCTCCTCCTCTCCTACTCCCTCCTCACCTCCTCCTCTTCCTTCTCCTCCTTCATTGAGCTCTGTATTTTCTTTTGGAGGAGGAGGAGGGAAGAGAAGGAGAGGGGGGAAGAAATGTCCCATGATGGCAACACGCGAGACCCTCGTGACGTCACGGTGACGTCATTATGGGAACCGTCCCATAATGCAACGCGCGGGTCACGAGTGAGACCCACGCATTGCATCATGGGACGTTTTTCATAATGCAACGCACGGTTACGCCGACAGCGACACCGCTCAAGCCGGAAAGGGGCACCTAAGAGCTGCACTCTAAAAGAAAGCTGAAAAAAAAACGCTAGTTCTAGATTTTATGACCCTCGAAACATGTGACCGCAGAAAGGGGTGACGAACCAAAGACGACTGTCCTTGCCAGTCGGCAACGTTTGCCTATCTCCCGTTGCAGTTACGTAATGCCCTTCCTTTGCCGAGGTCACCATTGGCCAGGGCCCTACAATTTCTAGAACCTTTCGGCGTTTCAGAAGAGAATAGCAAATCACGCCAAAAATAGGGGGCGGGCAACCTTTCGGGGTTGGGGCATCTCTCAGGATATTACGGCATATTCATTTTCACTAATAGGTAATTATTTTTCTAATTAGTACGTTAGTTTGCAATCCCCTCCCCCCTTCTCCATAGTTGGCACCTATGTCATGGTACACCATTTGCCTCCCATCTTTCGTAATGTGATTTATTGATTACCTATTGATTACCACCAGGTCTCAGCTGCCTTGGTGGCTTCGAGGCAAAGTGCCACCCTACAGATCTGCAGTTGGTGCATTCGAATCCCAGTCGGGGTTCCCGCAATCTGTCCAAATTCATCCTTAGTCTTCCATTGGGGTGTACCAGATGCCCTTGGTTGGTTTGACACGCCCCAATTTGATCCATTGCCAGCTCTCGAAATGTTGGAAAAAAATTGTCTTGGGGAGGATTTTGAATGCATCTCGCTACATGCACGTCTTTTTGTTCTTTTATTGAAGAAGGGCTACTAATGTTTGTTAACCCTATTCCAGCATGGAGGAGTGCGAGGCACTCTGCCAGCGGATATCCATCATGGTGAACGGGTCGTTCCGCTGCATGGGGTCCACCCAGCACCTCAAGTCCAAGTTTGGACAAGGGTTCACGGTGCTGGTGAAGCTGCGTCACGACCAGGCCGTCGCTGCCACTGCGTCGGCCGTTGCAGACGTTTGTAACGCCATGGAGGATGCTTTCGGCGGTTACTGTCAACTCCGAGATTCTCACCAGGTGGGCCGATCCTTTTAAGAGATTAGCAGTGCTCTAGCTATTGTTGCTTGAGGAACCAGTTACTGGTTACCATGGCAAGCTTCCCTTCCTTGTATGCTTTTAACGAGAGAATTCACTACATTATTAATATTGTTCCTTGTTTCCAATGTATACAGTATAACTAGGGTTCTTCGTTTTCGGGTTTTACATTTCCTTTAATTTGGGGGGTAAAGATCGGCTGCTATTTGTTCAAGGTGATAATCGTGGAGAAGTCTGGTGTTTTGTGAAACCATTCAGAAATTCTGGATTTTTTTCGGGTTAAATTTACGAATGTAAAAATTAATACATTGTGTTTTTTTGCTTTTTTTTTACATCGGGGGATAAAAAGTACGGCCATGTTTTAACCCAGTAATCGGGGGAAAATTAAGGTTTTCTAGCAAATACTCTGAAATTCGGCCTCTGTTTAGAAATTAATAAGATAAACAATAATGACAGTAGATAGCTTTGATCACTTCTAGGATACAAAGCATTTTATTCGCAAAAGCTGGTCATCAATGTTTTACACATTCTTCTTGTTAACGTTGGTTAGGTGGTTTTGGAATTCTGGGAGAAATCGGGTTTAACCCGTTTTTCCAGCAACATGTTCAGGTGTAAAAATCGGGTAAAGTGGAGTTTTGCCCAAAAACGAAGGACCCTAAGTATAACCTCATTACAACAGTTCTGGTCGCAGCAGACATTCCGTTGTAAAAGTCTAGTTAGTCTTCCCGTTCATGCCATTGAGCGAACTTCCCTTATTGCAGATTCTGCTATAACATTTGTTTGTATATACAGTGTAGACCGCATATAACGTATGTCGCGGGAGTCGCGAAAATCCGCACTATAAGCGGTACCGCGCTATAACCAAAACATCAATTTTTCAGGCCAAAATACATGCCATGAGACAACCTACCTTTGTAAAAGAATTTATTTTATGTTAGATGAAAAATAAAGCTCAGTTTGAGAAAAGTCTTTATTTCACCAGACTAGTACACATCTCTCTCAAGTGTGTCACACATTTTGAAAGAAATAAGCGGCTTTTGCCCGGCGCAGCCTTTTAACGGCGTCACGGGTTGCGGACGGACGTTGCGAGCGTTCAGGATTGCTAACCCTAATCACTTTTCTCCGGAGATGAAAACGAGTGAAAATTCGCATCCTTCATACGGTACGCGCCAGAAAAATACCTTGAACTTGAGCACAGGCATGAAATGCTCCAAATAAGAAATCCGGGCGATGTTCGAAAACACAAATGCTTAGAAAGCACCACTTTAGCCGAAGTAAACAAACACGACGCCACGGGCGTTTCTGCCGCCTTTGAGAGCGTTGCCACATCGCCGCACGAGTAGGTGGATCTTCCCTTCTAGTACGTGCTGGGTTATCATAGCGACACACAACGAAAATTCACTGTCAAGGATAGCGTTTTTACGCGGAACGATGAGATGAACGCCACAACCGACGCCATGTTTGCGGACAGAAGCCGCCGGCCCGCGATTGGCATGCAACGCGCGCGAACACTTCTCGACCTGCGATTGGTCTGTCGTTTCGGTTGTTTGTTTCCAACGCAGCAGAGGGACGCACGCACATGAACGACACGTGCGTGCGTCCTTCTGTCGCTATGGCAAATGAAGCCTCTCTCTTCGCTTCTCCGAGCAACCTCCTTGCCCCGCGAGTGCCGTTTGCGGCTCGCGCCGTTTTCTAGTGTCGCACAGGGAAGCGTGCTCGCTGCTCCGGTCGTCGGCGCGGTCGGCGGGCTGTGCCAGAAACCGCACTATAACCGGTATTTCCCTTCGCGCGCCTGCATTTTAAGCGGTATGTAATTACATGGAGTTCTATGGGAGGCGAACCGGTGGTTTAAAAAAACCGCGTTATACCCGGTCCTGCACTATAAGCGGTTACGTTGTAAGTGGTCTATACTGTACAGGGCTTTTATTAGGGAGTTTGTAAGTAGTTTGCCATTTTTCTCATCGCTGGCTCTTCGGCAGCAGTTGTCATTTTGGAGATCAGACGGCTTTGGTTTGATTGTAGTGGCATCCATTTTGCGAACCGGTGTCATCGCGCACGGCACATCGCAAAACTTGTACGACCCAAAGCTCGCAGCGACGACGGTCTTCGGCACGGCCCAACGAATAAATCGCCACCTTTCAATGTTCTCAAGTGTCGACCAGCCGTTTCTTCCCCACTATCCGTCCACGTTTCGTCAATCTCACCGGTCGGAGCAGACCCCGGTCACAATCCATGTCAAAGTCTGCAGTGAGAGCATCTGCATACTGCTTACTCCTTTTTATTACAGACCAAAATCTTTTATCGCTATCAAGGTCTATTATAAATTTTGTACAGTGGGATCTCGGTAATTTGAACCCGAGGGGGGCCAGAAATTTGTTTGAATTATGCGAAGTTTGAATTGCCGGGAGTTTGAATTATGTAATGCGATTCCACTGTACTGTGCCGATAAATTCCAAAACAAGATGTCAATGCATTGTCGGAGGTGGGGAAGTTCACGCTTGAGGCAGGACGGCCGAAGTTCCTCCCCGGCGTTTATACTTTTTCGGCGCCCCTAGCATACTCGTCTTCGAATTTCACCGGTTTTTGGATGTGGTGTATGTCGTCGCTCATTTCTGGTCTCTCCCGCCCTTTTTGAACAGACGCTGCTGCATTTCCACGTGACGGACCTCAGCATCAAGTGGAGCGACCTCTTCGAGACCATGGAGGAAATGAAGCAGCGTCTCCGGTTTGAAGACTACATCGTCAGCGACACGACGCTGGAACAAATTTTCCTGGCCTTTGCCCGGGCGCAGCGCGACGCAGAAGACAACTCCGGCACGATGCGCGTCAGTGCCTGAGGTGCAAGGAAAGGCATCGTCAGCCTGCTGTCGAGTGAGTCAAATGTTATGTACGTAACGTTTATACTTAAAGGGACACTGACAAAGTATTTATGCTCGCCGAGGTATTTAGTTGTACGTGACATATGACAGCCCAATTACCCGGAACAGAGTTTGCGGCTCGAAATTCGGTTTCTTTCCGCCCGAACTCCACCGATCGAGAACTGGCCGGTTTGAGTCGAGCTCACTCTCTTTTCTGTGGTCACGAGCCGTTTTCTAAGGTTTCGACGCGACCACCAAATTTAATCAAAGTCGTAGGTCATTCAAGGCACACAGTCAATACTAAAAATAGGAAAAAAAATATGAAACCCATTTTTTCTGGCTTCTAAAAAGCTGCAAATACGTTGATTGAAAAAAAAAAAAGGTTGCACAGACAACCTGAAGCATTCTGTGCCTTCACTGCATAATTCTCAACATGGCGTCGTTTCGCGTTTCGTGGGACTAGCGGGTGGTAGCAGACGATGGGCGTGGGACCTCTACTTCAGAACTGTTGTTCACGGTACCGGCGAATTCTGTCTTCCTTCGAAAGAGAAATTTTGGACCGACCAAAAAAATTGATATTCATCCCGTACGACACGCCCGACCAGCAAGCCGATTGCACAAAGACGTCGCCGAGCCGTCGTTCCTTCTCGTGGCTGAAGACATTGCTCGCTCAAACGTCAAGCACGAAGTGCGTACTTCGAGTTGAATACGCACGCGTACGGTTTTTTTACTTGATGCGAACGTGGCTAATGCGCGGTGCTGCCCGACTTCAAGCTGGGAGTGCATGTACTGGAGGGAAATCGGCAGCAAACTTTCCGACATGCTGACGACCGTATGCATTACTATGAACAAAAGAATTCCTTCAGTAGCTCAGTGGAAAGATGTCCGCTTCTCGTGCAGTGAGCACGGGCTCAACCAATAGTGTGAGCGTACCATTTTTTTTTTTCAAACATTTTGCTATGTTTACATTTCTTTTTTTTACAATCATCACTGAAAAAAAAAAAATTGTTGTGGACGATACGTTGCTGGTACCGAATGGTGTGGAATTCCATTTTTGACATTTTTGCCACACAATGCCACTTTCAGATGTGTGGCAGCTCTTCACACAACATCTTGGGAGTATTCTTTTCGGAGCCAATCACGGGAATTCCCCAAGGGCACTCACTACTAATTGCCAACACTTAAATGTACAAAACAACTCAGCTTGCAGTACAGAACAGCAAGCGGAACAGACGTAATAGCAAAGGAATCACACAGCGAACAGATCCCGAACGCATTTCGTCTGCTGCACCCGGAAGAAGAGAAAAACAGAAGAACAATCGCACGGTCGGATGTAGCCACGTGACTTCCGCCACTCACTCTCTTCTTTCCACTTCTCCGTGCGGTACATGGCTTTCGGTTTCAGTTTCGAGCAGTTGTGTTTTCAGGCTTTATTAAAACAATATGTGACTTTGTAGAAAAATATTAATTGGGTAGTATTCCGACACCAGCAAAAAAATTAAAAACATTTTTGAGGGAGTGTCAGTGTCCCTTTAAACGGGGAAGTATGTTATGTGAATACGGCGGAACCCTGTTTATACGACTTCCACGGGACCACGCGAAAACATCATATAATCTGCGAGTCGTGCGATTAAGAAAATTTACATTTTGGGAGTTTTACGGGTCAAACTAACAAAGGGTATCAAGTGTGTTCCGGCGGTAGACTATAGATTAATTTGGACTGCCTGGGGATCTTTTGGTGTGCAGCTGAAATGTCAGTTGAGCGGCGGCTTCTCCACAATAAGCTTCCGTCGGATTGTGGGTAGCTCGGCCAGGACTCGAACTTGCCGACCAGGGATTCGTAGGCTGGCACGAGTTAGGAAAAACAATGATTACTACTGTTTAGAGTGTGGGCGGGCTGCAAGGGCAAGAAACTAAAGGCAGACGTTTGCTCATTCGGTTAGTCGGAGGAATGCAGAGCTTTCAAAGTGAGGTGGTCATAATGCCAATCACGAGCCAAACAGGATTAAACTGAATTTGAGATTGAGCGCCTGAAACAGTGAAGAGCTCTATCAATGTTGCGTTTTGGGTACAACTGAAAAACGGACCTTTCTTTTTCAGACAATCCTCAAGAGAGTTGGTGCAGCTTCCATTGTGACATTGTGTGTCTTATGAGTTTGGTTGCCCCATGGTGCCGCTTGCAAGCTCAACTGTCCCGCCTTGTGAACTGCCAGTGTTGCCGTCCGTGACAGCTGCTTCGTAGAACAAGGAAGAATGCCCGAGATAGGTAATTTTCAAGGAAGAAACGGAACATTGGGTTTTGTCGTTACTCGTAAGTTATTTTCGTGGACCTCGAATAATAGGATCAAAGTTTGGTGGCCTAGCCGCGACTACTTACGGTGGTGCGGGCACAATGCAATCTTGAGTGTTTACAACTGTCACAAGTTGAAACTTCCTTGGAGTATGTTCAGTCTCTAGGTAACATGCTAAGAGACAATGTTATGCATTCCTTTAGTAAGGCAGTGTTAATTGCTGTATTTTGCACAACTGGAAGAAATTATGGGGGAAAGATGTTCCCAGAAGAAATAGTTTTTATAATGTACTTACCTCTTCAGTTCAGTACAGCGCCTGGTCCACGATGAACAAACAACAAGTGAACTTCAGAGATGTAAAGGTGTGGAGATTTTAAGCATTAGAACTTTGTGCTTCTTGGTTCGTTGTGACTGGCGTTCATGGTAGGCGGTTGCATAAGAAGCACTTCAGCGCCGCTTTGTTGCAGTGCTTTGTGTTGGGAATTCCGGCCAAGTGAGACTCGAATGCCTTTTAACTTTGTATCATATATACCATGCATATATATTTAGTACTCTTTTTTTAATGTATTCTTATTCAAAAAGTTATTGTATGAATATATTAAAATTAATCTACAATGATTTTACAGTGCAATCCACTTATAACGATAACAAGAAAAACTGAAATTTTAATTGTTATAACCAATTATCGTTGTATCTGGACTAGAATCTGATCATTTCTAGACTTCAAACTCTAGAAACTGATCGTTATAAGCAATACATCGTTATATATGGTATCGTTATAAATGGATCACACTGTAAAAGGTAACAGTCCAAATTTACACCTATGTCTATTGATGTTTTATTAAACTCGCTGTATATTTTTACGGCGAGGTTCATTATTGTTCAGATAAATTCTGAAATCTTCAGAGATTAAGTACCGGTTTTGATCAAGTTAACTGTGGTTCAAACTGCATGATGGGGTCAAAGAATTGTAGTGCCTTGGCTGTCAAGTTTAAAGACACTACACTGCTTAAATTTTTTTTTCATTCATTTTAGTTTTTGTTTTTATTTATTCTTTAAAAAATATGAAAGTATGCACGTCATGGAGATTAAAAGGTTTCTTTGCAAGCCGGAAGGTGGGTTGTACTGAGACAGTTTGGCGGTATGCTGTGACGTGTGTGCCATGTCTCATATTTCCCATTTCTATAAGACTTTTTATAACCTACTAGTCATGTTAAACTTTCTTTTTAATTGGTGTCTTTGTATTCATTGCTGATACATCTGTATTTTGTCATTGTTTCAAGGGGCAATTGTGATATTTTCAGCCTCATGCTTTGTGCTAAAGCGGTGGTGTATTAGCGAGCAATGTCGTCATTAAAAAAAATCATGTTAAGGATTAAAGTTTCTGTCCATTCGTGCTTCATCGGGTTTACATGGTTCACTATACCATGGTTCTCAAATGTTTTGTCCCCGAAGAGCCCCTCTCTGGCTTGCTCCACTTCTTCAGCATTCATAGTGGGAAGATATATATCCCCTTCCCTTTCCTGCAATTTGTTTACTAGAAATTCCCAAAATGTCCTGGGGGCGGGGGGCAAGGAAGGGGAAGGAAGGTCCCCCTCAACCCCTTCTGTTTTGACACCACTCTTTGCAAGGTGCAGTTTACTGAGTTACGAGAAGATATGAAAGCTACTGGGGAGTAGGCAATGAGTAAAGGAAAGCTTGCTTAGGTGCACACCAATCAATCTGAACGTTGTTTTGCGTGCTAGTGAATAGGAATGTTATGCTGGAATATCCCCACCTGAATTACTTGATCCCTTAGCTTGAAGCGGTCCGAAACCCCGCAGCCCTCTGCATTTGGTCTATGATATTGTGCAGGTAGTATCTCTGCAACAAAAGCGAGCTTAAATTTATCTGCCCTCGAAGCATGCCGCAAATAGCGCGCATTTGCTTCCTCTAGAAACATTATCACTGGCATCGCACTGTCACGAATTCATTTCCACGTAGTATTCCCGCACGGTCGTCCCATCGCCTCAACAATTAACTCTCGTAATTTTCAACACATATTTGCCTTCATTAACAGAAATACCAACTCATTCTGGAACGGTCTTCCAGGATCAGTCGTTTTAATTACTGATCTCATGTGTTTTAAAACTTCACTTCGCTTGGATAGTGTATTTTTTTAAATAAATGAATATATATATATAAATACCCAATTAAAAAAATATCATTATAAAGACGGTCAGTCTAAAAATCCATACTCAACGGTTTTAGGGAACTTAGAACACACAATAAACAATCAAAAATAGAGAAAAAAAAATGTTTAAGTTAAATTATTTTTGAATTTGGTTCATCGCTTGTATTAAAAATATTGCAAACATTCCGTTTTAAAGCACAAACCTAAAAGGTGTACGGTCTAAAATTATATACTTTACGCCTATATTTAACTTTTAACTAAGACACCAAACTAGCAAGGTTTGAATGAAGTATTAATTTCTAAAAGGTAGAAAAATATTTTAACCTTGTCCCAATACAACCCCATCGCTCCTAGTCTCTCGTTGGGTAGGTGCCTTTTGGTCCCAAGGAGCACGACTCAAGATGGTCTTCTTGAACAAAAAAATGTTTAGTAAAATTTTTCTGAAAACATAATTCCTCATGAATTTTCTAGATTTGTTCTTTTGTGAACTTTTAAATCAATTAATTTTCTAGATTTGTCCTTTTTTGCATTTTTAAATCAATCAATGTTTTTTTGTTTTTTTTTTTAATCAAGAACAGTTTTATTTTCATAAAAGTCTATGAGTATAAGGTCGACTACTGAGGCCCAATCCCCCTCAGTGTTGGCTCTCTCATTTCGCTTATTAAAGGTACAAAAGTATTATTAAAATAGCCCAAAACATAACTTGAGAATCTTGGGCAAGATCAGTAAATATATTTGGTTCCATGAATAAATTAAGCTTCCCTAAAAACCCAAATAAAAAATTGTATGGCAAATTGCTATACTCTGTTCACCCTTAATTAAAGGGGCCCTGCAATCATATTTAAGCGTCCACCTTTTTTGCGGTTTCAGCGTCTCTTGGGGTTCGGGCAAGCCAGCGGGCACGGAGAGAGTAGGGAGTTTTAGTAGACCGTGTTTCCCGCTCCGCTAGCCCTCCGCTTCGAAGAAACCGCCACTGCGCCTGCGCGCCGATGGCCTTGGCTGTAGAGTTCCGGGTAGCGGACGGGCTTAGCGGAGCGGGAAACACGGTCTACTAAAACTCGCTAGTAGATATCAGTAGGCGTCATATTTTAACCGGACGATGCGGAAACCGCCTCCACCTACGGGGGCGACTCGCTGTACGGAAAGCGCGCAAAATGTGACGTCTTTGGTCCTGGGCTTACTATTGGTCAGAGCCTCTAAAAGCTTCTTTTTAGTCAAAATACAAAATATAAGTGGCGCGAACCGTTTCAGTTATGTATAAAAGTAGCTTTTGCGCAGTATTTGAGATCAGAAAAAAAAACAAATGCAGTTTATAAAGTACGGAAACAAGAAATGACCCGTCGACATACCCGCTACCAAGCGGTGGAAAAGGCGGCGCATACTAGAAAGGTGTAGTGGGATCAGGCACCGACAAGCCTCTCTGATCCTCAAGAGGCGAAAGAAGTAGCTCAGACGCTCTTCCGTGACCCTTTTAACGGTGTTCAAAACTTTCCCCCTTTACTTCTAACTTAATTACCTAGTTCTTTTATTTATTTATTTCACCATTCTGTACAACCTATACATGTTGCAAGAGTACACAAATCGGTGTTGTAAGCACACTAGTTTTTTCGGTGCTTGATCCCACTACACCTTTCTAGTATGCGCCGCCTTTTCCACCGCTTGGTGACGGGAATGTTGACCGGTCATATCTTGTTTCCGTACTTTATAAACTGCATTTGTTTCTTTTCTGATCAAAAATACGGAACAAAAACTACTTTTATACATAACTGAAACGGCTCGCGCCAGCTATATTTTGTATTTCGACTAAAAAAAGCTTTTAGCGGCTCTGACCAGTAGTAAGCCCAGGACCAAAGACGTCACATTTCATGCGCTTTCGGCACCGCGGGTCGCCCCCGTAGGTGGAGGAGGTTTCCGCGTCGTGCGGTTAAAGGGGCCCTGCAATGACTTTTTTACTAATTTTTAATTTGCACCGAACCTGAGCGCACTGAACGTAGTAACTTAGTGAAACTTTTCTTTTGTCAAAATTCCCTTTATTTTAAAAGTTATAGGCAAATTAAAATCACAAAAACAAGCAAAAAATAACCTCCCTCATGACGTCCTTGGTTGCTTGAGAGTGGCCGTGAACTAGAGGAGAAGTGGTGAGCTCATCGAGCGCTAACGGCTGCCGCACTCCGAGTCGACGGCGCGAGATGGCGCCATTGGAGCATGTTCTGGATAGGCTGCATGCAGTGGTCAGCCAGAGCGGCTCATATTGCATTTGCTGCGCGATTAAATACTAATTCGGCATGACACTTCATTGGCCACAAACGAGAGCAAACACGGGGTAAAGATCAGTTCAGAACGCGAGCCACTTCGCGCTGCCATACCGCCAAAGGTCTAAATCGCCAGCCAAGCCCGCGCCGAGAGCCTTGGGAACGCTCGGAACCGGTCGGATCCCCGAGCCGGTGTACGACCGCAGCGCCGCCGCGTACATCCGGGATCTTTCCGTGTCGGTGTCGGCCACTGATTTCTATGACAATTGCTGGATCGCGCTTCCCCGCTTGTTCGCTGCAGCGCAAGTGAAGCCACCGGACTTCACTCGCTTGGGATACGATTTGCCGTTTTTGCTAGCCTTTGCTGCGGTTTTCCAGCGTGCTGTAGACGCGTTTTCTACTCGTTCGTCGTCATTCGCCGAAGAAGTTTTTTGAAGACTCTGTGTATTGTTGAGACTTGCCGTTGTGAACACGTGGAAAATTTTACGAAAGTGCAGTGTCGCAGGAAAAAGGCACAACGCGTCGAAAGGAAGGGCTGGCGGCGTGTTCAAAGCTTCCTTGGCACGCCGAAGTGCCGTGTTTCTGTGCCTTCGCACGCTTGGATACCGACCAAGAACCGACGCCGTGTGTATGTGTTTAGCGAGTGCAATGTGCGTGAAGCTGTTCGTGCCTCTGGATCAGCGTCTTTTCCCCTCGCGGTTTAGGAACGAGCTTAATCCAGCGTCCACTAGCGACGGAAGATGGGGGAAGGTACGTCTTTTTTTCGTCCTTAGACGATTTACACAATACCGTGCACAACAGCTCCTCATCACTGATCAGTGCTGGCTTATTATCAACCTACTTAATTGCACTTGACGTTTGAGCGCGGCTCGCCTAATTGTAATTGGTCAACAGATTGCACACGACCATATCGGCCGCGCTTCAAAGATTTTCATTCTCGCCGTCTTGTACTTTTGCTTTCGAAAACCCCCTGGCTCCACAACGTTGCCCTATTCGTGCTCCCACGGAATCTATTAGAGTAGATTTGGGACATAGCCATGGTTAATATAGTACATAAGAACACGTACAGATCTCCCCCTTTTATTGATAGCAACTCACCGGAACAGCTGGACGATCCAGAACTCCGTGGCCGATATATATAAATGATCTAAAGGCATCTACGCGCGACACACGTTCAGAACTTTGGCGCGGCGTCAATTCTTGACCGGTATCCAAGCGTGCGAAGGCACAAAGATGCATCACTCGGCGTGCCAAGGAAGCTTTGATCACGCCGCGACACCGGCGACACTTGTTTTCGACGAGTTGTACCTTTTGATACGGCTTCACGCACATTGCACTCGCTAAACACATTCACACGGCGTCGGTTCTTGGTCGGTATCCAAGCGCGCGAAGGCACAGAGACACGGCACTTCGGCGTGCCAAGGACGCTTTGAACACGCCGCCAGCCCTTCCTTTCGACGCGTTGTGCCTTTTTCCGGCGACACTGCACTTTCGTAAAATTTTCCACGTGTTCACAACGGCAAGTCTCAACAATACACAGAGTCTCAAAAAACTTCTTCGGCGAATGACGACGAACGAGTAGAAAACGTGTCTACAGCACGCTGGAAAACCGCAGCAAAGGCTAGCAAAAACGGCAAATCGTATCCCAAGCGAGTGAAGTCCGGTGGCTTCACTTGCGGGAGCGGCAAGCGCGATCCAGCAATTGTCATTGAGATCAGTGGTGTCGGCGCCTCATCCCACTATTCCTTTCTAGTATGCGCCGCTTTTTCCACCGCTTGATGGCGGGTATGTCGACGTGTCATTTCTTGTTTCCGTACTTTATGAACTGCATTCGTTTCATTTTTGATCTAAAATACTGAACAAAAACTACTTTTATAAATAATTGAAACGGTTCGCGCCACTTATATTTTGTATTTCGACTAAATGGAATCTTTTAGCGGCTGTGACCAGTGGTA